GGGCCAAAATCCCTTCACCTTTCCATATGCCTGGCTCATATGAAGTGAGCATTCATGGCACGTGGCTCAGTTCTAGGCTGGCCCAGAAGTTAAGGTCCTGGCTTCCAAGAGCTCCCCCAGTTGGCCATGGAGATGAAGGGATGGAGCTGCAGCAGTGCTGGCTCTTCAGCCTGTACAAGAGTCGGGGCTGGGAGGAGTTCTACAGCTCAGTGTGGATGGGGCCACAGTGGCCAGGGCAGAGCCTCCTCTAGGGTCATCTCTCAGCAAGCTGGCAGTTTCCAAGCACAGTCCTAGGCTGCCACGACCGGAGTGGTCTTTAGCCTACAAGAATGCAAGATCCACTCACTTCTTTTCGACAACATTTATGGAGCGTGCATTTGTGCCAGGAACAGTTTGAGGCTCTGGGCAGACAGGGGTGCCTCAGATATGTTCACTGGAGTTCACACACTAGTGGAGAGACTCTTACTGGATGATACCAGTACGCCATGGTGAGAAAGTGATGCTGTAGGGCCAGAGACGCAGAACATCTGCTCCTGAGTGGTCCAGAGTGTAGTCAGGGAGAGAACAGGCCAGAAAGCTCATTTCTGAGCTGAGTCTAGAAGAATGAGTACCAATGGCCAGGTAAAGACTCTTTTTCTGATAATGGTAGGCTAGGCAGTTTGGACCCATTCCCCCACCTGGAGACTAAACTACTGAGCTGATTTTACTCACAAGACTTCTGACACTAAATGTGTGGGGGTTTTCCACACCAAGCAATTCTCCAGTTCTCTGTGGACACCAGCTGGTTGTCCTACGGTTCAATTCGATTCTGACACTAACTGCCCGGAGTTAACTTCAAACTCCACAGGCTTCAGAGCACAGTCCCACAAGACTGCCCTCGCTTCAGATGCCCCATGTCACCCACACTTCTGTCCAAGCTGGCCACAAAGTCAGACGGTTCCCATAACCCCCTCTCCCGTTCAGATTCCACAATTTACCAGAACAACTCACAGAACTCAGGAAAGCACTTTATTACCAGTTTATTATAAAGGAGTCAGCTCAGAACAGCCAAATGGAAGAGATGTATAGGGCAAGACATGGGTTAGGGGGCTGTTCCAGACACACCACCCTCCCACACCTCGATGTGTTCACCAGCCCGGAAGCTCTCCAAACCCCATCACTGAAGGGTTTTTATGGAGGTTTCATTACATAGGCATGAGGATTACATCATTGGCTACTGGTGATTAACTCACTCTCTCATCTCTCTCCCCTCCCTAGAGGCTAGGGGCTGGGGCTGAAAGGTCCAACCCTGTAGTCATGTCCTGGTCTTTCTAGTGACCAGCCCCCATCCTGATGCCCTCTAGGCACCCCCAGCCACCAATTATCTCATTTAACATGCAAAAGACACTCATCACTCTGGAGATTCCAAGGCTTTTAGAAGCTGTGGGCCAGGAACCAGCGACAAAAATCAAATATCTATTTCCCATTGTAGCACAAATATCTAGAAGAAAAAAATGTTACCTTCTTAATAACATTAGAGAGCAGTACAGTGAGGAATTACCAGACCACAACCTAGGGGAAGGTGAGAACCCAGAAGGAAGCCCAGCACTCAAAGTAGAGGCCATTTCCTGATCCGGAAGAAACGAAGCAGCATCAAAAGGTGAGGGAGGGGCCGGCCCGTGGTTAAGTTCACACGCTCCCTTCCCGGGCCCAGGGTTTCGCCGGTTCAGATCCTGGGTGCAGACCTAGCACCGCTCATCAGGCCATGCTGAGGCGACGTCCTATGTAGCACAGCCAGAAGGACCTACAACTAGAACACACAGCTAGGTACTGGGGGGCTTTGGGGAGAAGAAGAAGAAAAAAGATTGACAACAGATGTTAGCTGAGGGCCAATCTTAAAAAAAAAAAGACATAGGGGCTGGCCCCGTGGCCGAGTGGTTAAGTTCACGCGCTCCGCTGTAGGCGGCCCAGTGTTTCATCAGTTCGAATCCTGGGCGCAGACATGGCACTGCTCGTCTGGCCACGCTGAGGCGGCGTCCCACATGCCACAACTAGAAGGACCCACAACAAAGAATATACAACTATGTACCGGGGGGCTTTGGGGAGAAAAAGGAAAAAAATAAAATCTTTAAAAAAAAAAAAAAAAAGACATGGGACAGAGAAGGCAGCGGGTCTGCCCCAGCTAGGAGGTCTGATATCTCTACCAGAAATGCATTAAGCTGGGACCCTGGAGGACAATATCCTGAAGGTAAGGGTGAGCCAGAAGTAGGCCAGCCCTCAAGTGGTCTTCCACAGATTGTACAACCACCTGGTGGTCCAAGGAACCTCAAGTCTTGAACTTAGGCAAAGGTGGTTCAGAATTAAGAGTGCTCAGGTGGCTGATAGAAACAAAGGAAAATGCTCTCTGGAAGAAAGTATCTTCATCCTAGCTCTCAAGTTTTTCCTACAATTAATTTTGCACATACAAGACCAACCCAAAGTATAAGATAATCATGCACACAAAGAAGTTACTGTAAGTGACTAGTAGACTAGAAAATGACTCACAAAGACTTCAGCCAAAGTAATTATTAGATACAGACTCAAAAACTAAGTTAAAAAAAAATCTGGTAAAGCTTTGCACAGTGGCAGTATCGTAAACAATGAAGTTTATCCAAGGCGCCATTATTGCTAATTTAAAAAAATATGGTAAATAACTTTAGGGATCAGGAAGCTATAAAAAGTGACATAACAGATTTGAGAAACAACAAAATGGAATTTCTGAAACTTAAAAATACAATAGTTAAAAGTAATTACTCAGGGGGCTGGCCCCGTGGCCGAGTGGTTAAGTTCGAGCGCTCCACTGCAGGCAGCCCAGTGTTTCGTTGGTTCGGATCCTGGGCGCGGACATGGCACTGCTCATCAAGCCACGCTGAGGCAGCGTCCCACATGCCACAACTAGAAGGACCCACAACGAAGAATATACAACTATGTACCAGGGGGCTTTGGGGAGAAAAAGGAAAAAAATTTAAAAAAAATAAAAAGTAATTACTCAATGGACACATTTCACAGACTAGACACAAGTGAAGAGAAAATTAGTAAGCAAGAAGAAAGGGAAGAAGAAACTATTCAGAATTCACCAAAGTCAAAAAGATGAAAATAAAGAGAGTAAGAGACTGAGGTAAGAGACTTGGTTGGTGGAGAACATCTAATAGAGACAAAGAGAAAAAAGAAAGATTAGGGCAGCAGCACCATTAAAGAAACGTTGACTGAGAATTGTCAAGAACTGATGTAAGACACTAGTCCACTGTTAGGAAAAGAAGGCCCATGTCACGAACTTGGAAAGCTATGGGATCCTCTGTTGACTTGGTGTTGAGCTGATCTGGTGGTTTCCTGCCTTCATACAAGAGAGCAAAGAATACACATTTAAGTTCGCAGAGCACACATGCTATACCTCTCGTGAAAACCTTGAAAATTAAAGGACAAAAAAAATCAAAACACCTTTTAAAACAGCAAATGGGCTGTGTTTGCTACTCCTTAGTTAGGGATATGCCTGCATTCTGGCAGATCAAGCATCCATCTCTGAGGAACCAAATACTTAACCTTACCTAAGTAAGGCCTCAGGAAAACGCCACTACCAGTTCTCGAGTGTTTCCTGTCCACCAAAATCTTCAGCTGAAATTCCATCCAAAAAAACAAGGCTGTATGTGTACCCACGGTGCCCATCTTCCCCGATACCAGCAGATCCCCCAGCACACAGGGTGCCTTTGCACCTATGGACGAAAGCTTCTCTTCCATTCTAGAGACTTTTCCCAAATGCATTCTTATCACGTAAAATCTCCTGACAAGGAAATAAAAGGTTAATTTTTGTTATTCAAGCAGATAATACTGATAATAGTTCTCATGTGTCGACATTACATTCTGGTTTGCAAATGACTGGCCACGGAAACAAGTACTTTCCTAAGTCCTGTCTCCCCCAGGAGGGAGTGGAGAGAGGGGCCACACTGGACTCCTGTGCTGGGGTCGGCGCGTTTCTCAGTCCTGTCTTCCATGGAGAAGCGCATGTGTTTAGTGTAACATTTACCCCAGCCTACCATCCATTACCCTCTGACCCTGCCCCCTTCTAGCTCTGCCTCTCTATGGTTCCTTTCTCTTTACAAAAATACTCAATCCTCCCCATCTTCACAGGCCCTCCCACAGCCTACCACCCCTTTTATAGCACTTGTCACCATATGTGCCCTGGCCACAATAGGACTTCCCTGTGGATTTGTCAAAAGGCTGAGTGAATGCTGGAAGGAATGAAGGACTGGAAAGTAGCCCCAGAAAATTCCCTCCATAAATTCTAGTTCCCTCCTCCTTCCTAACAAATTCTTTCCATCCTTTTGCTTTCACCACTTCCTAGCTGTGGTACCTTGGGCGAAGTGCTTTACCTCTGTGTGCCTCACCTCTGTGTGCCTCATTCCCTCCAATGTAAAATGGGGATAACAGTCAGTGTTATTGCAAAGCAAACTCATCGGTTATGTTGGGAACAGTTATGGTGCACTTCAGTGGGATACTGTATGGAAAGCCCTTGGCACAGAGCCTGGGCAAAGAATACCTCAGTAATGGTTCGTCAGAGAGGAAAGTTTCTCTAAACTGCTGTCTACCTTGCTTCCACCCCTGTCTCATTTTCTGCCCCACATCCCTCACCCACAACTCTGCCTTCCTCTCATCTCCTCTTTCTCCATCCTTGTCTCCTTGAAGAACCCAGCCCTTCCCTCCTTCACAAAATCTTCTGGATTCCTCCGAGCCACAGGCGCCTGCCTCTGTGGGGCCTCTGGCTCTGGCCTCGACCCCCTCCTCCTCCTCTTTAACCACGAGTTGCAGGAGGGCAGGACTGAGGTGCCCCCTGCCCAGCTCCCCCCATGCCCTGCCCAGTGCTGGCCAGTAAAAGGTGCTGGGGAAGCTAGATGGAGGGTAAAGGGATGGTCCCAGGGCTCTCGGCTTCCTCGGGGGTGGGCACTGTTGGAGCCTCAGGCCTCTCCAGCGCCTCTGCCCTTCCGCAGCCATCGAGCTGATCAAGGACCTGGTCAACTACGACGTGTGCCCGGCGCTGCTCAGAGGCCTCGTGGACCTGCTGATTCCGTCGGTCAGGGAGACCAGCAAACTGCAGCCCAAGATCCTCAACGGTAGAGACCCGCTAGGACTGGGGGCAAGGGGCACCTGGGCGGGAGCAGGGGGGTCTCCCGCCTCATGGCTGCCACTCTGCCAGACTCCTCGGTTCTCCAGCTCACCGCCCAGCTGCCCGTGTTCTTGCAGCAGGCCGCGGCCGCCAAGACCATCGGGTAAGCAGACGGGGGTGGGGAGGGGTGCAGTCCCCCAGCTTCAGCGCTGCCCGCGGGCCCCAGCGCAGCGGCCGGGCACGCGAGCCCCAAGGGGTGGCCGCAGCGCGAATCCCCTGCCCAGGGTCCTGGCGCGCAGCAACACGAGCCTCGCCCAGGAGATGCTGCACCTGCGCGTGGTGCACAGCCTGCTGAGCGCCATGGGCAACACGGACCACAGCAACAGCCAGCGGCAGGCCAGCCTCACGCTGCAGGTGAGCGCGGCGGCTCCGGCGGGGCGGCGCGGCGCGGCCCGGGGCGGCCCTGCAGTCACGCCGGCCGCCCCCCACCCTACTCCGCAGTATTTCGTGCAGACGTTCCCGGTCGTGGAGCAGCACGTGCGCAAGTCCATGGGGGAGGAACTCTACCAGCTCTTCCTCGTAAGTGCCCCCATCCCGTCCCGCCACAAAGAGCAAAGGGCACGGACAGAATGGTGCCCTCTCCACACCGTCCCCACCCTGCTCAACACCACCCACACAGATGGGGCCTGGTGGCCAGCTGCAGGAGGGACTGCCTGGCGTGGCCTCCTCTCCTGGCACCTTTCCGTTCCTTTTGCTGCCCTTCTAGTCAAGCTAGGAGCCCAACCCCCGCCTGCAACCTCCCTCTGCCCGAGCCCACCCAAGCCTAGACTGCCTTGGCACCTCAGCCAGGTTCCCCTTGCTCCCATTCTCAGAGCAGCCCCGAGAACTTATACATGAAAATAGATAGCATTCAGGCGGACATCTTGGCTGCCAACAAAGTCAATGTCACCAGAGGTGAGTGGGGAGGGAGGGGACCCGGGGCAGAGAGGTGCAGCGGGCGCTCAGGCTCAGGCGCACCTCCCTGCCTCCAGAGTTACACCTCACTGAGGCCTGCAGCAGCATGAGCTTCTGCTTCAGCCCTGGTAATGAGGATCAGAACGAAGATACGGAAGGAAAGGAGTAACAGAGCCTCTGAGGCAATCCAGGAAGCCAGGGCTGTGTGGCAGGAAGCGTGGCTGAAGGAGCCTGGTGCCCCTAGGCCCTAGGTGGGAGGCTGGGGGTGAGGCCCACCAGTGAGGGAATGGGAGAGCCGCTGGCTGGGAAGAGCTCAATAAACAGTCTTGCTGTCTCTCTGTTCTCTGTGTCGGGGGCGGGGAGGGAGATGGAATGAAAGCCGGGATGCTGGGTTGGGGTGCCTCTGCTCACCGAGGAAAAGGGCTGCTCCGGAGGGACCAACATCCAGAAGGTTCACAGGCACAGCCTGCTGGCCCCTCACTCTCTCCTTCAGGACACACACCCACCTGGTTTGTCTCCTGCCTCTCTGGTTGTTTCTCCTCATTCTCTTTTGCTGATTCCTCCTCTTCAACCCAGCTTCTTTCGAGTTGGAGTGAGGCAAGACTCTGACCTCGAGCCTCTATCTCCTTTTACACCCTGGTGATCTCATCCAGGCTCAAGCTTTAAATACTGCTTCTGTGTACTGACTCCCACACGTCTGTTTCCAGCTAAACACTTCCACCTCATTGTGCCCAAAACTGAACTTGCGATCCTGCGCCACCTTCTGCGACTTACTAACGGCACCTCATCCTTCCTGCCGCTCAGAACAGAAGAGTGGAGTTCTTGTCTGTTTAACATCTGTATCCATCTATCTGTTGACTCTACCTTCCAGATGTATCCAGAATCCAGCTCCAACTCACTCCCTCCATTGCTAAGGCCCTGGTCTTAGCCATCTAATGCTTCGCCACCTAGTACCATCATCTGTCCTCTAGATGACTCTGCTTTCTGCCCTATTCTCTTTTCAATACAGCAGCCAGAACGGTCTTTTTAAACTTTAGATTCTATTGCTCTGTTCAAAACCTTGTAGGGCTGTCCATTTCACTGAAAGTAAAGCTCACACCCTTGGCCATCGTGTCTCCCACCACCTCTGAACTCTCTCCTTCTTTCTGCAGTCGCCCTGGCTGTGTGGGTGTTTCCTGAAACTGACAAACAAGCTCTTGCCTTAGGGCTTTTGTCCTGACTTTTCTGTTGAACAGTGAGAGGTTCTGTTCTTAGAACCTCTCTCCCCAGATAACTAGCTGCCTGGCTAATTCGCTCACCTCCGTTCAGATCTTTACACAAAACTCAGGTTCTCAATGAGGGCTACTCGTTTTTAAGCTGCAACCCACATTACCACTCCTACATTCGGGCCCCCAATCAGCCTTATGCTGCTATTTTTTCCATAGCACTTATTTAGTTATTGTTCCAGCTCCACCAGGGCAGGGATATTTGTTACTGATAATCGCAAACACTGAGCACAATGCCTGGCGTGCATGACTGACTGACTGAGGTGTGTGAGGGAGTTGTCCCTCCAAAGCAGAGGCAGTGGTCAGGTGGAAGTAACTCCCCAGGCTGCCACAAGAGGGCACCACAGGCCCTGATATTGTTAGTCTAAGCCCCGCCCCCGCCCCCAGCCTTCCCCAAACTGATGTCGACCCTCAGCTTTCCTCTATTTGCGTCGAGGGAAGAGAGAGAAGTTAACAAAACATAGTCGTGTTTTCCATAAAGCTAAATGGATTTCCTGTTTCAAAGAAAAGTCCTTTCATTTGGGGTCAAGTCATTCTTACTGTTTTTAGTCTTGAAATGGCCTTTCTTTTGTAGAATGATGGTAAAAAGCAGTACACCAGAAATTTTTTGGAAATTTTAATAATTGGAAAATCAAAACATCTAGAAACCACTGGTCCAAGGCGATCATAGTTTAAGAAAAACAATGGGGCCAGCCCGGTGGCACAGCAGTCAAGTGCGCACGTTCCACTTGGGAGGCCTGGGGTTTGCCGGTTCAGATCCTGGGTGCAGACATGGCACCGCTTGGCAAAAGCCATGCTGGGGCAGGCGTCCCACGTATAAAGTAGAGGAAGATGGGCACGATTTTAGCTCAGGGCCAGGCTTCCTCAGCAAAAAAGAGGAGGACTGGCAGTAGTTAGCTCAGAGCTAATCTTCCTCAAAAAAAATAAAGGGAACTTTTTAAAATGAAATTTTCGGTATAATGCAAGTATCTAAAGCATATATTACATGGAATTTATCAATATATATTTCTTTTCCTCCAACTTTTTATTTTCAAAAGTTCAAAACTACAAAAAAGTTGAAAGAATAATAAAAGGAATAATTGTATACCTAGACTCTCTGACACACTTGCTTTCTCTCTGTGTGTTTACTGAACTGTTTGAAAGATTCAGATATCATGACATTTCACCACTAAATACTTCACATTATGTTTCTACTATGAATAAGAACATTCTCCTACATAATTACAATATCATTATTGTGGTGGTCAGAGTCATGGCCTCCAAATACGTCCCCACCCTACCCCTGGAGCCTGTGACTCTTCCCTCACCTGGTAAAAGGGATTTTGCAGGTGTGATGAAGTTAAGGGTCTTGAGACGGAGAGATTATCCTGGATTATGCAGAGGGGCCTGAGGTAAATCACAAGGGTCCTTATTAGAGGGAGGCGGGGTCCCAGAGTTACCACTGGAAGATGGCATGACAGAAGCAAGAGGGTTGGAGTGACGCAAGGAAGAGCTCACCGGCCGAGGAATGCAGGCAGCTTCTCGAAGCCAAAAAAAGCAAGGAAACATTCTCTCCTGCAGCATCTAGAAAGAATGCAGTCCCACCAACACCTCGATTTTAGACTTCTGACCTCCAGAACTGTAAGAGAATCATTTGTTGTCATTAAATTTATGATTGTTACAGCAGCAAGAAAACTAATACGATTATGAAGTCAATAATACCATCTAAAATAGAGTACATGTTAAAATTTCCACAATTATCTGAAAAACTTACCTTCCGTTTTCTTCCTCCCCTTTTTTGTTTTTTGTTTAGGATCCAGTTAGAGTTTGTATCTTGCATTTGATCGTCATGTAGTACAAGTTTATTTTTAAAGTTCAAATTTATACCAATTGCTGTCTTGAGCCACATAAAAATTTGAAATCACAAATAAACCTGAAAATTTTCTATTTTTAGCAAATGATTCAGTTCTAGTTTTAAGGCTAAATTACTTCATCGGGAAAAAATATATTTATAAATGTGTCATACTAAAAGCAACCAGGGGCCACCCCATGGCCGAGTGGTTAAGCTTGCCTGCTCGGCTTTGGGGTCTGGGGTTTCACCGGTTCAAATCCTGGGCGCGGACATGGCACCGCTCATCAAGCCATGCTGAGGCAGCATCTCACATGCCACAACTAGAAGGAGCCACAACAAAAAATACACAACAGTGTACCGAGGGGACTTTGGGGAGAAAAAGGAAAAATAAAATCTGAAAAAAAAAATTAATTTAAAAAAAAGCAACCAATTATACTTTAGTTTTTAAAAAGTTTTTGTAAAAATAGCAACTGACAGATGGGTGGTGTGGTTCTGTGACCAGAACCGAACCCCCAACCACGGTAGCGGTGAGCACAGAACTTTACCTACTAAGCCATCAGAGCTGGCTCCGCAGGTACTGCCTTGAAAAATGTTTGTGGACAGATAGGCGCAAGCTTGGACTTTTTAAAGTTAAAGAACTTTTTATTCAAGGCCTCGGCAAAAACAGGTAACCACATATTTCATAGATTGCAAACATCTCTTGGGCGACTGCTCTGTGCCAGGCCCGGTGCCAGGCACAGGAGGCAGCTCAGGTTAATGCTTGGTGGCCTCTAAGGTGTGAACGTAAGTAATCCGAAGCCCTCGGAATGAAGTGTATCCGCCATCTCTGTGAATGGACTTGCACTTCTTATAACTGTGGTTGCTGGGAGAAGGGGGCGGTTGGCGCCCCGCCCGGAGCTGGCCCCTTCCCGCTGCTGCCCCTTTCTCCATCAGGAGGCCGCATAACCTCTCCCACCAGAACCTACCGTTCCGCGAGAACAAGCTGCAATCCAAAGGATGCCTGAGACATGAGTATTTTTCTAGACAACCTACTAGGTAGGGATGTAACGACCACCCTGAGCGACCTTCACACTAAGGGAACCGTTGGAGCGGTAGAGAGACCCATGCGCCCTTCGTCCGTCTACGCAGGCGACACATGGGCTTTGTTCCTGGCGCTGGGTCAGCTTCCGACGCCAGACGGGCGAACGGACAGTTACAGCCTTTTCTCTGAAGTGCACACGTGGGTCATGGTGGCCAGTGCTGCGGCAGAAATGAATGACGAGACCCGCAGGGAAGAAAACGGGTCCCAGAGGAGCAGGACAACACAGGAAGAACACGGCAGCTGCACAGAACACGGACGCACCGAGAAAAAACACGAAACACACTCCCTCTGAAATCCGTCACCGCGTAAACTCTCTTGAAAACACTGCCACTAACACGGAAAAAAAGATGAAAGACACCACCAACGACGGAAGTGAACACGGTTCTAAATTCTTATTTGACGAGAAAACTCATACATACTACACAACTCTATTTTTAGTACAGCTTTATAAGCCTTGCAAGTGCAAGGCCTCAAAAAACTGGGTAAAAACTCAGAATTGTTCCTCTCCACGGAAATCTTTAGTAAAAGGCGAAAGATTTACACGATCTGAAGAGAAACTAGAGTATACAGGTATTTATCACGCTCAGTCCTCGGGTAACTGTAACTCCTAGAGCAGCAATGGTAATTATTTACCCAAAAGAGCCAGTGGTTTCTGCCTCTATATCAGACAATTCTGTTGAAAGCAGGGTCTTTTTAGGGGGGAAAAAAGTCAAAAGGAAACGAAGAATCCAGCTTTTTAAAGTAGGAAATAGCCTTGTGCAATGCATTGTGGGTATGTAAATAAGGCTGAGTCGCCAACCTCCGTTTCCGGAAATACCTTAAATTGTTCACCTGTTTTCCTGCTACCGCTAGGCCTGGGGCCACCACCAGGGGGCAGAGCAGAAATCAGATTGGCAGGAATATAGCTGCTTGGTCCAACCAGAAAGTCGGACTGTTTTATAATTGGCACTCCAAGTTTACAATTTCTCTAGAATTAAAAAAAAAATTAAATTTAAATTTAAATTTAAAAAGAGGCTTGAAAATAATTGTCTTTGTTCCTTCATTCAACAAAAACTTATTGAATGCTGTGTCAATAAGTTCCAGACAGAGAGGCACCATAACAATGTAAGCCAAGTGGTCAAAGGGCAAATGGCTGGGCGGCAGGGACCAGATTTTGACGGGCCTTCCATGCCAAGCTAAGAGCTTGACTTCGCCTTGAGGGCAATGGGCAGCCAGCGGAAAGCTTTAAAGGAGAATAATATGATCAGAATAGTGTTTTGAAGCAGCATCAGTGTTATGAGTTATGATCCATTCTGGTCAACGTATGGAGACTATATGGCCAGCAAGAAGTTTGGGAGACAATTTGGGACACTGAGCAGTAAAGCCAGAGAGAAATAAATGATGGCCTGGACAGGGAATGGCCTAGAATTACCCAAGGAAAGAGTGGAAAGTGAGGAGAGAAACCTGGCTAGGAGAGTTCCCTAGAGAACAGGGGCCTAACAGAGAGGTGCAGCAGAAGGAACACTGAAATTCGGAAGGTGGGAGGAAAACCAGGAGAGTGGATGGGACAGAAATCAAGGGCAGAAAAGAAGTTTCAAGAAGGGACTGGTCAGTTCTGTCGAAGGAGTGATCCAGTGAGATGGGGACTGCAAAGTCCATTGGATTCAACAAGAGGCAGTTGCTGGTGACCTTGGCCTGAGCCCTTTGCACAGGGTGGGGGTGATGGAAGCCTACTGCAGGGAGGTGGTGAGGGCGGGAGGGGGAGGCAGAGAATGCAGGCACCTCTTTTGAGAAGTTTGACCCTGAAAAATTAAAGAGAGGCCATAGCTGGAAGAGGGGAGGGATTAAAACAGCCGTTCCCGCTCTTTTCTTACTGTTAGGAGTGTTACACGTGTTTAAATGCCGATGGGAAGGATTAGCACAGATGGAAGAGTGAAGATCCAGGGCAGAGGAATTAAACAATAGACGGGGGTTGAGGAGGGGAGGGGGGGAAGGGAGGGTGATGGCGGCCCACTTTAGTTAAGAGGAAAGACCCAGACTCCAACTCTATGGTGCCCGATGGGCGGGGAAGGGAAACCAACTCAACACAACGTTGACATAAGGGAAGCCATATTGCAGAAAAGAGACCATGTTGTAATTTTGAATGACCTCTAAGTCAGCTGGATTTGCACCCTCCAGGAGATCTGCCCGTTCTGTAGATTTTATGACCCCTGCTTGTACATATACCTCCCAGCTGCGATAAGATGATTACTTCGTTCTTTTGAGTTCCTTAGGAATGTGGTGACTCCCCCCACCACCACCACCACCAAACAGAGAGTCTATGCTGATAGCCATCATCAATGACTGCTGAAAGATCTGCTGTGGCAACTCCCAGTCTGTAACACCAGAGGGTCAACATTCCTAACCCCTCCCCTATGACCCACTGGCCTATATAACTGATTCAAGATTCTGTGCCCCCCTGAAGATGGTTCTTTGGGCATTAGTCAGCCATTTTCCCTCTTGCTGGCAAGCTGTAATAAAATGCCCTTTCTCTGCCACCATCTTGCCTCTTGACGATTGGCTTTTGTCTCGCGGCGAGCAGATCGTGCCCTTTGTGCGGTAACAGAAGAAGGGAGTGCAGGTGATAACTCCCCCACCCTGATGGTTTATGGAGCTGGTCCTCTTTCTGTCCCTCCCCAGCAGTTCCCTCTCCCATCCCTCTTGCCTTCCATCTTCCTCTACCTTTTCAGCATCTGGCAAAGCCTCAACTTTCTACCTTTTCAGCATCTGCCCTGTGGCAGCTGAACTGCTAGAAAAACCAGACAACCGAGCCCAACCTCTAGTGAAGGCCCCAATGTGACCTGACATGTCTCGTTGGCTCTGCTTCCCGCTCCCGAGGCACCCATTTTACACCTTCTTCTCTCTCGGAAATCATCCCACACCTCCTCCCGTACTCTCACTCTCTGATCCCCTCACAAGATTTCGCTGAGAAAGCGGAAGGCATTTCCCTTATCTTCCCACCCCCAAGCCAACAGCCCCCAGCATCTGCCCCTCCTCCGCTCTCCTCCCATCAAAGGCCCATCCCTCCTCTAGGGCTTGTGGCCCGCCCCCAACCCCACAGAGACTGCGCTGCTTCCATGGGGTCCCCCTCACGAGACCATCTGTCTCTCCTCTCCGGGTTCATCCCAGCCGACCAAGCAGGCCCATGATCTCCCAGCTGGAAGAGAAAGGGAGCAGTAAGGGGGAGGGGAAAAGGGAGGGAGTCGCTTCACCCACAGCGCCCGCCACCCGAGTTCTCCTTGTGGAATATAGCGACCAACCACAACAAAGAAAAAACTTCACTTTGGGTTTTTGTTTCAGAAAAAAATTCTGACAGAAGTCTTTTTATTAAAAACAAACTTTCTTGCAACCACAAGAGACAAATGGAACTTTTCATTCTAAACAATTAGTTTCCACTGAGCTTCACCTTAAGAAAGAAGCTTAGTAACCTTTACTGTCGATGCATTCACATCAACTGGTACAAATTTGAATTAACTTTCACACTAGACTTTTTTTAATGACTTATGTAACTATCTGAACAATGCTTCACAGACCTTGAAATTGACTCAAACATCAGAGACATCAATATGTAATTTTTTCCAGCATTACTGAGATGTAATTGACATACAGCATTGTGCAAGTTTAAAATATGCATTTTTTATTAGGTGAAATAACTTCTACAGCAAAACAGAGTTCTTTGTTTTCTCCTCTTTTTCGTCTCTTCTCATTTCACTTCTTCACTTTCCATTTTAAAAATTCATCATGAACTACTTCTAACTCCACAGAAAAGAATAAAGAACAAGAAGACGCCTGATTCTCCGATTTAATGGATATGAACATTTCTTCTAATGTGCTTTAGATCTGTTTTAATAGATATGAACATTTCTTCTAATGTGCTTATCTGTTTGAAAGTAAATAAAACCTTATAAATACAGTGGAAGGCTGAATTTGTACCCCTCAATCCCATTCGCGCACCTCCCCGTGATACCCACTATTCTGAAGTTGGTGATATGTCTTCCATCCACCAACATTTGTCCTGTGTTTTTAAAATTCCCACAAATATCGTACCTTAGCTATCCTCCTGTAACTTGCTTTTTTTATCCTATATTGTTTCCAAAACAATTTGTGACGGTATTTGTAGATGAAGTTCCGATTCATCCATTTTATTTCCTGCATAGTATGGCATTGTTTGAGTGCACCTGGGATGTAAAAACCACCTGGGACATTAAATAAAGGGACATATGGTGACATTACTATGAAAAACTCTCCAATTTCCATCTACTTATTTTAAGGTTTCTCAGATCTTCCATTTGTGAAAACAAAGATAGGAATAGAACTGGTGACAAACTCTGTCTCACTCTGTGTGAGCTAATTGAAAAATAAAGTTTCTTCATCTCCTTAGGAGATGCATTTCCAATACATTTCTAATTTTTAGGTTCAAAACTCTTATTTTGATCATTCATCTACTTAGAATAATGATAATGATAATTCAATCCAGAAGATGTGTTTTGACACACAGAGACTTAAGGTAACATGAAATCTTTTAAAACATATATAGGTACATGTGAGCATCTTTTCATGTTTATGGGCGACTCCAGCTTCCTATTCAGGGGACTTTCTGTTCTGGTCTTTTGTCCATATTTAAGTTGTTTTTGTCTTTTGCTCTTTGACTTGTAGGAGTTCCCATTTACATTCAGTAAACTAAACCTTTGACAGTTTATATGTATTGCAAGTTATTTCCTATAGTCTGTCACTTGTTTTTTCATTTGTTTATCATATAGAAGTTTTAATATATTCATCAATTTTCACTTTATGGTTCTCTAGATTTTAAATCTTTCCCTACCCTAATGTCATAAAAACATACTCTCATATTTTCCTTTAAAAGATCTAAAGTTTTTTACAATTGAATTCCTAATTATCTAGACTTTTCCTGTGTGATATGAAGTAAGGACCTAATTTTATTTTATGGAGCATTACCTGCAGCATCCTTGGTGATTGCAGGAAGCTGGAGACAACCTAATGTCCATCACTGGGACAGTGGCAGGTAAAAGGTACTATCATGCAACAACAGGAAATAATGTATTAGATGTCACACTGCATCAAAACTATAATGTTTAGTGACAAAAATGAGATGTATGATACAGTATCATTAACATAACTTTTAAAATCCACCCACATACACAATACCTGCATACAACAATACCTGTTTTGCAAGAACAAAAAACAAGAAGATATATATTAAACACAGTGGAATGGTTGCTGGGGAGAAGGTGAATGGAAGAGGGATGGATGTAAGAATAAAAGAGTGAATGATAAACAGATAAATGGATAAATAAAGCAAGCCTGACACAGACCACTGATGATAATATGTCATGACCCCAGGAGCATGGTCATCACCTGAGAGCCAAAGATGATAGATAGATAGATAGATAGATAGGTAGATAGATAGATAGATGAGCAGAACTGCTACGAAAGGAGAGAGAGAGAAGGAACGCAAGAAGGAAGAATGAAAGGATGGAAGATAGAAGGAAGGATGGAAGGCAAAAAAGACTGAGTCGTCATCAGAGTATACAGCCTAGGGGAAACTATTCATGTGCCCAGAAGGACGTAAATAATCATGATTCAAGCAGAGGCAGAGAGCGTGAAAGAGGGGTCCGTGCTGAATGGGAGCTGAATTTCTTCTAAGGCGTCCTAAACAACACCTTGACTTGCCCTTTAATAGGCTCTATCAAGGTCTCCAGAAGCAGCAAGAACCTCCTCACCACAGGGCAGGATTCAAAGCAAAAGGCAGATAGTGCTAAAAAGAATATTAAAAAAAACTATAACTTGGGGCTGGCCCCGTGGCCGAGTGGTTAAGTTCGCACGCTCCGCTGCAGGCGGCCCAGTGTTTCGTTGGTTCCAATCCTGGGCGCAGACATGGCACTGCTCATCAGACCACTCTGAGGCAGCATCCCACATGCCACAACTAGAAGGACCCACAACGAAGAATATACAACTATGTACCGGGGGGCTTTGGGGAGAAAAAGGAAAAAAAATAAAATCTTTAGGGAGAAAAGAAAAAAACCTACAACTTGTTTTCTACATCCCACCTCACACCCACTTGTCATTAGAAACAACCGCTAGTCGACTCAGCTGTTTCTTCCACTGGGTATATGCTGAATGACAGACATACACTGCTGCCTCTTGAGTCACTAATTTTAGATATTACTTCTTGACTTATATTAAAAAATAAAATTCAGTGGCCGGCCCCATGGCTGGGTGGTTAAGTTTGCAGGCTCCGCTTCAGCGGCCCAGGGTTTCGAGGGTTCAGATCCTGGGCACAGATACGGCACCACTCATCAAGCCACGCTGAGGCAGCATCCCACATGCCACAGCTGGAAGGACCCACAACTAAAAATACACAGCTATGTACCAGGAGGCTTTGGGGAGAAAGAAAAAAATTTTTTTTTAATCTTAAAAAAAATAAATAAGATAAAAAAATTAAAAAAAATAAAATTCAGGGGCCAGCCCAGTGGTACAGCAGTTAAGTTCACATGTTCCACTTCGGTGGATCCCAGGTGCATGCTGCTTGTCAAGCCATGCTGTGGCAGGCATCCCACATATAAAGCAGAGGAAGATGGGTACAGGTGTTAGCTCAGGACCAATCTTCCTCAGCAAAAAGAGGAGGATTGGTGGTGGATGTTAGCTCAGGGCTAATCTTTCTAAAATAGATAAATAAATAAACAAACAAACAAATAAAATTCAACTGAGTACATTTTAAAGATCTTATTGGCTTTATTCAACAATTCATGAATTGAGCAGCATCCCCTCTAGCAGATAGAAAGGAGCTCTGAGGAGCTGTACAAAATGAAAGGCTTTTATAGGCAGAAGGGAGCAGAACAAGGAATTCATATCAGCAAGAAGTGAACAGTCGTGGCAAGGTCACCTTCCTACAGGGGATGGCCGAGGTCCATCAGGCAGGTTTCCTCGCTAGTAGTGCTGATTGACTGGTTCAAGATTCCACTTCTGGGAGAGCTGAAACTATAATTAAGTCTCAGTTTGGTGTTGTGGGGCTTAGCATCAGTGACTCCATTTGGGGCCTGTTGTCTTGTTTTTAATACTCACCATCAAGGTCGATGAGGATGTTCTCTCCCTCACACCGCCTCTTCCCCGATGATGTGACTGTATTTCAATGTTGTTCCAAGCCAAGCCAAATAGAGTTCTACAATTACAATTCCTACCATGTAAAACTTTTTATTTTCCTGGAGTTAAAAAGTTCCCCATTTTAGAAATCTTTTATTTTTTCTGTTTTTAAATTTATGAAGTACTTGATACACAAAACAGTATATAGAATCTATGTTCTCGAAGAGTAATTAAAAAAACAGACAGTGGGGCCGGACAGCGGCTGAGTGGTTAAGTTTGGACGCTCCACTCTGGCAGCCCAGGGTTTCACCGGTTGTATCCTGGCGCAGACATGGCAGCGCCCATCAGGTCACGCTGAGGTGGCATCCCACATAGCACAACCAGGACCTACAACTAGAATACACAACTATGTACTGGTCAGCTTTGAAGAGAAGAAGAAGGAAAAAAAAGATTGGCAACAGATGTTAGCTCAGGTGCCAATCTTAAAGAAAAAAAAATAGCTATGTATCTTGACCCAGCTTAAGAAACAGGACTTGACCTGCTCTGTTCACTTTATTCCTCTCCAATCTGATCTCCTGCCTCCCTGACCCCAGAAATAACCACTATCCTGAAGTAGGATTTTCCTGTCTAATATCACCGTTTTAATTAATGTGACTTTCTTAACCTCATAAGAGATGTCCTCTCCAATTATTCTCTTTTCTCCAACTTTTCCAGATATTCATGGATCTTATTTCTCTATATAAATATTAAATATTTCTCTATATAAATATTAAAATAACTTTATGAAGTTCCTTAAAAGATCCTGCTAGAATTTTTATGGAAATTGCATTAAATTGTGGCATATATTTAGAGAGAAATAACATCTTTACCATTTTACTATCCATCAATGTGTATTTCAGGGCTGGCCCTGTGACCTAGTGGTTAAGTTTGGCACATTCTGCTTCAGCAGCCTGTATTCACAGGTTAAGATCCCAGGTACAGCCGTGCTGTGGCCAAGACCCACATACAAAATAGAGGAGGACTGGCACAGACGTTAGCGCAGGGCCAGCCTTGCTCAGCAAAAAGAGGATTGGCAGCAGATGTTAGCTCAGGGCTAATCTTCCTCAAAAAAAAATTTCATTCCATTTACTCAATCTCTATAATTCCTTAAGAGACTTTAAATTTTTTCCTCTATAAAGGCCATTTTTTTAGGTGGGTTTCTACTCTATAGTTTTGATGCTATTGTGAACAGTATCTTACTTTTACAATTACATTAAGTAGCTGGTTATTGCTGGTGAAGAGGAATATTAGTTTGTAAGTTAATTTAGAGCAAGCTTGCAGAACTCTTTTTTAATTCTAATTATTTACATATTGGTGTTGATTCTCTCGGGTTTTTCTGTATTGGAAACCAAATCATCAGCAGATATTGTTTTGTCTCATCCCCTCTATGCTCATGTTCAATTTCTCAGTGAGTAACAGACTCCCAAAAGCATACCTTGAACAAGCAAGAAGTTTATTTTCCCCTTACATGAAGGAAGCCAGGAGGGAGGAAATTCAGAGTTACTATGGAGGCTCCACGGTGTCAAAGACCCAGGCTGCTACTGTGGTTGCACACGGCCACCAGTGCACGGCTGGAGCCAGCTACTTCATGTGTGCATCTCTTCCCAACGCCATCTTCAGTGACTTCCAGTTGGCAGCTTGATATCAGCCACAGTGAGCATATTTACACCACGGAAATGGGCAAATGCTTCAAATCAGGGTCCCTCCCGCCGGAGAACTTGTTAAAACACTAGCAGCACAGCGCTGCTTCCTTTCGCACACAAGGACGGTTGCTGGAGCTACAGCCATGGTCTCCACACTCTGGTAGCGGGAAAAAGAAAAGGGAATGGAGAAAGTACCTCCTTCCTTGTTAAAGAGAAGTCTCAGAAGTACTTTACACAGGCTTAAAATAATTTCATTTACATATACTTATAATATTTCCACTTCTATTTCAAGTTGAACTTAGCCACATGGCCTTACTGAGCAACGAGGGAGGCTGGGAAATGTATGCTGCCATACACTCAGGTGAAAAATGGGGGAAATGCTATAGGTAGGCAATGAGCAGTCTCTATCACACGTTCCAGTCCTTAAACACTGATTTCAGCTCCAGGCTGCACAGTCGTGGGGGCAACTGTAATCCTCTTCTCCGATCTTAAAGAGTATGTGTCTTTAAGTACGATGCTTACTATGAGTTTTTGGCATGTAGCCTGTATTATTTTAAGGAAGTTCTTTTCTATCACCAGTTTTCTCTGAGTTTTCATCAAAATTAGGTGCTGAATTTTCTATTAAAGACTTTTCTGATTCTATTGCAATAATCACATTTTTCTCCTTTAGTCTATCAAGGTGGTGAATTACAATTGCTGGATTTTGCATGTTAATCATCTTTGCATTCCTGAGATAAACATTATTTTAACCATGATACATTTTTATTTGATTTTACCTTTTGAACATGTAAACAATTTGCAGGATTCAAAAGTCAAAACTATGAAAATATATAAACTCAGGGGCCAGCCCTGTGGCCAAGTGGTTAAGTTTGCCCACTCTGCTTCGGCAGCCCCGGGTTTTGCTGGTTCGGATCCTGGGCACGGACTTGGCACCGCTCATCAGGCCATGCTGAGGCAGCATCCCACATGCCACAACTAGAATGACCCACACCTAAAAACACACAACTTTGTACCGGGGGGCTTTGGGAGAAAAAGGAAAAATAAAATCTTTAAAAAAACAAATACATAAACTCAGAGAAGTCTCACTCTTGTCCTTATCCTCTCCACCCCACTCCCCTCCAACCCATGTTTATTAGTTTCTGGTTTCATCTTTCTGTGGTTCTTTTTGCAAAATAATAATAATCAGACATATTTTATTTCCCTTAACAAAAGATAATATACACCTTATTTCAATTAATAATATATCCTGGAATTCACACCATATCAGTTTATAGAGACCTTCTTCATTCTTTTTTTGGCTGCATAGTACTCCATTGTGTGGATATACTGTACTTTATTCAGCCTGTACCTATAGGTGGGAATTTAAATTGTTTACAGAATTTTGCTATTCCAGATAATACTGCAATTAATAGCTTTGTGCATATGTTTTTTCATATTTATAGGTGTGTATCTTTGGGGTAAATTCCCAGAAGTAAATTGTTGTATCAAGAGTAAATTCAGGGGCCGGCCCAGTGGTGCAGCTGTTAAGAGTGCACGTTCCGCTTCGGGGGCCCGGGCTTCACCGGTTTGGACCCGGGTGTGGACATGGTGCAGCTTGGCAAGCCATGCTGTGGCAGGTGTCCCACATATAAAGTAGAGGAAGATGAGCACAGATGTGAGCTCAGGGCCAGTCTTCCTCAGCAAAAAGAAGAGGTTTGGTTGCAGATGTTAGCTCAGGGCTAATCTTCCTCAAAAAAAAAAAAGATTGATGTAAAGTTGTTCATTCATTTTTTTATAAATATTTTTAATCTATGTTGTGTCTGTACTTATTTCTCTTTTTTCATTCTGTATTTTGCATATATATATTTTTTTAATCTCTCCTCCCAGGTTCACCTAGCTTATTAAGACTTTCAAACAACTGGCTTTTGTGTGTGTGTGAGGAAGACTGGCCCTGTGCTAACGTCCGTTGCCAATCTTCCTCTACTTTGTGTGGGATGCGGCCCGGGCCATGGAAGTAGAGTGTGAGAACTTAACCTTCACACCACCAGGCCTGCCCCTAAACAACTAGCTTTTTAAAATTCTTTTTAAAATCTCTTTTTCACTGATTTCTGCCTTCCCCCACCCCCTTATTTCTTTGAATCTCAACTCTGTAACTCTTTCCCAAATTGTCAAACAACGTATCAGTAAGGAATATTTTCAGTTAGGAACATTTTCAGCTGCAGGTTACAGAAAGCTTGAATACAGTTTGCTTAAACAAACAGGTGGGGTTTTGTTTGGCTTTGTTTTGTTTTATATTTACACAACAAGGAGTCGGGTGTAGGTGGCTGCTGGTGTTGGTTCAACTGCTCGGCCACTGAGAACCTTCCTGGGCCCTTCCTGCCTGCCTGCTTGTCTGTCCTGAGTGTGTTGCATTTTTGATCTGATGACTATCAACTTACTTCATGATCACAAGGCAGCTGTCACAACTCTGGACAGAAGGTCCATGTCCCAGGCAAGAAAAAAGGGAATGAGATGTTACAAGCAAAGCATACTTATGTCACTCCCTTCTATTAGAAAACAACACATCCTGCCCAGAAGCCCCCCCAAAACCGTCCTGCTTATATCTCATCGGCCAGAACTGCATCACACGGCCAGCTCTAACTGCATGGGAATCTGGGAAAGCAAGTATTTCACTTTTTTGGTTTCCAATCTGGAGATGAGTAAGGAAGAAGGGGCTGGGAGTGGCTGTCGGATTAGCCACCCACAGTGTGTGTCACAAACAACTGGCTCATCTAAATGTCTTCAGTCTTCCTTGTGTTCTGTGTCCCTTCCTGACGCCTTTGTGATGAATCCCCACCCTGACCTTATTGCTCATGGTTTCATTTTGGCTGCAACCATTCTGCTACTCAATCCATGTAGGAATTTCAACTATTAAATTTTTCATACCCAGTATTTCCAACTGATTCTTCTGGTTTGTTCCTGCCTTATGGTAACAATATCCTCCCTTATCTTTTGAGGATATTTATCACACGTTTTAAACTGGATCAACAGCCAGTCTGTTTCACCTAATATTAGTTGCTCAGCTTGTGGTTTTCCTTTTATTACGAATGTGTCCCCCTTTGAGTCCCTATTGCTTTGTGGGTGTCAGTGAACTTAGCAGGGGCCGGCCCCTATTTGCTGCTGCTTCTTTGCCTTCAACTCAAAATAATTCTTACGTAAAGAGGCATATTTTGGGGTGACATTCTGGTTTCCTTCATTATTTTTTTCTGAACTACTTGAAAGTCGCGAACATCATGACTCTTTCGGTCTAAGTATTTCAGCATGCATCTCCCAAGAAAAAGCACATTCTCCCACACAATCGTGGTGTCATTATGACCGTTAAGTAAATCAGAAATAATTCCCTAAAATGTCTCATAGCTAGTCCATATTCAGATTTCCCCAATTACTCCTAATTTTTTTAAACCATGACCCAATCAAGATTCATGCTTTGCATTTGGTTGTTGTTTGTATTCTCTTAAAATCTAGAACAGTCTTTGTATTTCTCTTTTTTCTTAACAGGGACTTTGTAAAGAGATCAGGCCAGACGTCTTGTAAAGTGTCCTGCATTCTGTATTTGCCTCATTATTCCTCATGGTGTCATGCAATTTGTTCCTCCATCAGCTGTATTTCCCAGAAACAGGAAGTTAAGTCTAGAGGCTGGACTGGACTTAGGCTACACATTTTTGGCATTCTTATCTCTTGGATGATGCTGTGTATTTCCTATCGTAACCTATCAGGAGATACATAATGTCAGGCTGCCCCACTGCTGGTGATGCTAAGTTTGATCACTTGGTTACACTGGTGACTGGCACATATTTCCGCATAAAGGTATGCTTTCCCTTTGCAAGTTGTTCACGTAAACAATCTGTGGCACGATACTCTGGCACCATGCACACGTCCTCTACTCCGTCACCTTTCACCTAGCATCCCTGACTCATTGATTTCATTGGGAACTGCAGTATAGTTCCAGAGTCTTTACTTAGAAAAGTGACTGTATGAAAGTTTTTCTAGTTTTTTTCCAAATATGTCTCTTCTTTCTTACACATTGTTCTTTCACAATGATTTTTTTAAAACTTACTATCTTTTTGATGTTAAGCATACCAATTTTATAGGCTCCAATGGTTCTATTACCAGTTTGAGGAGGGGAGGGCTTTTTTTTTCTTTCTATCATGGTGATGTATCGACGGTAATATGTTGGAGTCCCTGGCATACATACGTAAGTGTCCCTAATCTAATGACTTTATGTTTCCTGAAGTCACGGAAGTTTCATTATTCACAGACCATGGGCCTCTCTTCATTTATGGCACAAAAGGAATTCTCGACTTTGGGACTTTGAGTTTCCTCTGCGTTTTACTGTTTTTGGACCAGTCAATGTTAATTTCTTGACTTTGGCTTCCTGTAACAGGAGGGTACTGGCATCAGAAACAAGTTATGAGGGCAGGAGTTGTATCACCCATGCCTGGCCAGGAGAAATTCACTGGATCTGTCCCAGGTCAAGGAACTGGAAATAGGCCCCCTGCAAAAGCCCATGTGCCCCAAGGGTTCCACATCGGCCTTGGGGAGCAGCAAGGAAGTTTGGGGGATTTTTTTGTTTTTTTGAGGAAGATTAGCCCTGAGCTAACTGCTGCCGCCAATCCTCCCTTTTGCTGAGGAAGACTGGCCCTGAGCTCACATCTGGGCCCATCTTCCTCTACTTTATACGTGGGATGCCTACCACAGCATGGCTGGACAAGCGGTACCATGTCCGTACCCGGTATCCAAACCAGCGAACCCCAGGCCACCAAAGTGGAACGTGCGCACTTAACCGCTGCGCCACCTGGCCGGCCCTGAAGGATAATTCTATTTTACCTGCCCTCTCTGCAGCTCTCCAAAGTGACTTCCTCTTTCACTCCTTCCAGGCTTCCACTCCCTGGTTTGGCTCATCTCTTCAAACCACCCTAATCTCATCTTCTTTGCTTCTCCTCCTCTGCCCTACCTCAAAATGGTGGCATGCCCCGTGGCTCAATTATGGTTCTTCTCATCTCCATCTACACTCTCCCTACGTCTCATTCAGTTTCATGACTCTAAATACATCTACATAAAATAACTGCCAAATCCCTATCTCTGGCCTTGATCTCTCCCTGAGCTCCTAGCTTGTATATCCAAGTCCTCACCTGACACCTCCAATGGGAAGTCTTGTAGACATCTCAGACTCGACCTGACCAAAACGAAACCCTTGACCTACCCATCCTGACCTGTCTCCTTCACACCTCCACTCCCCTATTTCAAGAAATGGTCCATCATCCGCCCAGTTGCTCTAGCCAGAAACCAGAAATCATCCATGTTATCCCTTCTCCTTCACTCCTACATGCAACCTGTCAACCTAAACAAGAGAGATAAACTGAGGCAAGCTCAAATTATCAGAAATTGAGTTTATTCGGGAGTAGCAGAGGAATTACAATGTGGGAAATGCATCCTATAGCAAGCTACAGGCAGGCCATTGAGGGTTTGGGGAGGGCTATATTCATGGGCAAGGAGCCACAAAGAGGGGGTCATTGAGCCAGAGTTCAAACACTCCGTTCATCGGCTTGAGGGCGGGGAGAGATTCTCTCAGTTCTTAAGTTCCATTTTTCTGAGGGAGCATGTGAGATTCTCCATTTCATATCCTCTGGTTTCATTTTAGATCGAAACCCTCTCACAAACTCATCAGCAAGTGGTGCTTACTCCACCTCCCAAACAAGGTACACCTTTAATCCATTCTCTTAGCTACATTTCCTTTGTCACTACCCCATGCCAGGCCAGAATAATCCCTTGCCTTCTAAATGATCTCCTCAACTCCAGTCTTGCCCTCTTCAAATCGGTTCTCTACACAGCAGCAAGCCTGACACATGAAATCGAATGTGACTCAGATCTTGTCAGTCTTCTGCTGAAAATCTTCAATGACTTCTGATTAGAATAAAAGCCAAAATTATTACTATGGGCTACATGATGCTAAATGATCTCACTCCTCTGCCCCTTACCTATTGCCTTCCAGCCACACTGGCTTCTTTCACTTCTTCAAGACCAAGTTCTTTCCTGCCTCAGGGCCTTTGCACATACCGTTTTCAGATCCGAATCTCAAAGGTTCTCCACCTCCCTGTCCTCCATTTTGACATGGCTAGTTCCTCCTTGTTCTCTAGACTCAGGTCAAATATCACTTCAAAGATTTCTTCCCCGGCTACTTTATCTAAAGTAGCTTCCTCCATTATTCTCTATCCTAGCTCTGTTTCCCTCAGAACACTCAGGACAATTTATAATTTATTTATTTATTTTTTTTGTCTCCTTGGAAATGTCAGGTCAAGGAGACAAGTACTACATGTCTTGCTCACTTCTACTATCTCCAGTACCTAGCACCACGCCTAGCACGTGGCGGACACTCAATAAACCTAGTGCGTCTGTGACTCTCACGCACTTTAAACAGAGCCCCTCATGTCAACTTCGCAATAACCCCGCCACGGAGGAAACATGCTCCCCATTGTGCAAAGAAGGAAACCGAGAGTCAAGTGTCTAACCTGTCCGAGGTCCCGGAGCTAGCAGCTGAAGAAATCGGGATTCGAATCCATGCCTGCAGGACCCCAGAGCCCTCACTCTCAAACCGCGGACTGGTTTCTCAGTTTGGGGTAAGCCAGCGGTACAACACGGTCCTCAGGTATAACGTCAGGAACAAAAGCACGCGAGGCTCGCGAAGTTCCCGGCAGGCCCTGCGCTCTGGGGTGTGGCCAGACGAGAGGGCGGCCCCAGGCGCCTGCAGCCCCAGCCAAGACTACGTCTCCCAAAAACCTCCGCGGGGCGCCGCTGACTGGCGGAAGCGAGGCGAACGACGGCGTGGTGACGTCTCAGGGACGCTGGCGCGCGGGATTTAAACTGCGGCGGTTTACGCGGCGTTAAGATTTCGAAGGGTTAGCAGAGTGCCGGCTTCCTGGTATTTCGCGTTTCTCTTCCCGGTGCGCCTGCCGACTGCCCATGGACTCGTCGCTTCAGGCCCGCCTGTTTCCCGGTCTCGCCATCAAGATCCAACGCAGTAACGGTGAGAGCGGGGTCGCGAGGCCCAAGGGACCCGTGGGCCGCGAGACGGCTGAAATTACTGCCCTTCCCTAAACGGCAGGACCCTGAGACAGTGTTGCGGATTCCCCTCGCCCAGGTCCAGGTCTCTGCACTGGCAGTCGGTCTTCCCTACCCAGGGCTAGGGGCCTCTGCCCTGGCAGTGGGTCCCCTCCGCGTCCTCCAGGAGTGGGCGGGGCTCCTCCATGGCAATGAACCTCCCAGGGAAGTTAGGATTGCTCGAGTCACTTCCCCTCCAGAGTTCTCCCCTGAAACTGCCCTCGTCTTGTAGGGACCTCAGCTTCCTGGGCCCTCTACTCTCCTATAAATATCGCACATTTGCACTGGGATTCAGAGTAACGAGACAAACAAAATCCCTGCTCTGCAGGAGCTTGCAATTCTGTCCTCTTTTTTGGTTAAGCGGCTACCGCAGTTCTGGCAAGTCTGATACCCGTGCCATCAGGAGACTGGTCGGACATAAGTGTCAGGCGTGAGATAGAGAAACCCGAGGGCGCTAGAGACTCGGTGCTGTGTTGAGGAACAGTTCACCCCGCTGTAGGCTCTCTTTTGAGTGAAGATGAATCCTTATCCCCTGCAGCTCGGTTTTAAGACCTGTTCCCTGCCTACTTCACTATGGGATGTTCTAAGGGTGAAAGGCCAGGAGGCTTGTCTTCTCATGTTAAAAAGGAAAGGTCCCTTCCTTCAGGTCAACTCCACACTGAGTCTCTGTGGGACTCTAAAAGTGAAAAAGATGGGTGACTCTGGCCTTTTCATACTCTAGGCTTAATTCACAGTGCCAATGTAAGGACTGTGAACTTGGAGAAATCCTGCGTTTCAGTGGAATGGACAGAAGGAGGTGCCACAAAGGGCAAAGAGGTAGGTTCTATGACTTATGCCTCTACCACATTTAACACTTTCCTACCTAAAAGATCTATGTGGAAGTGGAACTTGGGAGAGCCTTGTTTCTGATGCTGTCTTGTCCTCCCTACTCTTAAACATGGGCTTTGGATTCAGTGGGATTTTATTTAGTGAGCCCTGTTCTAAATTGAAGCAATCAACAGTTTCTGGTGTGTTTGTAGAGAGCAAAGTGCACAGAATCCTAAAACCTTGCTCACCCAAGCTAGCTTCTGAGTGTCCACTGCCTATGATATTGGTTTGGGGAGCCAAATTGATACGCTAGCTGAGGGGAGAAAAGTCTGTTTCTGAAACACTAGATAACAGAAGGCAACTTGTGATGAATGGCACAGATGACTGGTGCTGGAGCAGCTCAGAGGTGGAAACTCATTGAGGATGAGCTGGGCTTGTGGGGGTAGGGTGGGAAGGCTTAGCAGAAACAGTGAGAGGGCCTTTACAGGGACTAGAGAAGGAACTGGCTCCAGGCAATGGAAGGCTCAGGATGCTTGGCAGCTGCAAAAACGCTAAAAAGCTCCAAACTTCTTAGTGAGGCATTCAAAGATTTTTCAAAATCTGATCCCAATCAACTTTTTTCTTTTTGCCAGAGACTCTTCATCTCTGGCACTAAGATGCTTAGGATTTTATTCTGTAGACAGTGGGGAGTCTTGAAAGGATTTTGTGAAGAGGAGAGAAGTGACTAAGACATTTGTTTTAGAAGCATTGCAGTGTGGTGAACAGGTCACCGGGCTAGGTGCATGAAAACCTGGATTCTAGTCTGGCTCTGCCACTACTTTATGTATTCACAGGCATGTTTCCATCCCTCTTAGAAATTATTTCCTCAGCTATAAAATGAGAAAGAATAATATCTACCTCATATGGTCGTTGTGAAGATTTATTCAACAAATCCTTTTGTACTGATTCCAAAAAACCAGACGATGTGTTTGGTGCTGGGAATACAGAGGTGAATAAGGCACACTTGGACCCGCTTTCATGGCGCTGAATGATACAACACATGTAAAGGGCTTGCTTAGCATAATGCCTTATGGTAGATATGCAGATGTTTAAGTGGTATATTTGAGAAATTAAAGGGTTGAATACTTTACATTGTCTGCCCTTGAATCAAGAGGTTCCTAAAATTCCTTTGAACAAGCAATTAGCAGTTCCTTGTGATTTGTTTTTTTGTTTTTGTTGATTGTTTAAAAATACAGTTCTCATTGGGTCTGACTCCAGCTCAAATATTGCCTTTGGAATAAGGTCCAAACTTCTTAGTGAGGCATTCAAAGACCTTTCAAGGTCTGATCCCAGTGAACTTTCTTCTTTTTACTACATACTCTTCTTCCAAAGTATCCTGTGCGAGGCCAGTGGGGCAGCTGCCCGCACTGTGGCCAGGCCTAGTGCCTAGCTGCCTTCACACTCTCACTCTTACTCCTTCCTCCCTGGGTGTTCACCCTGAATCATTAATGTGAGAATTAGTTATTGTCAGAACTTGGGTTAGAACTCTGGTCTCCTGTGTTGTTTATGCTCTCTGTAGTGTAGGGGTTGGGAATGGGGTGTGTGTGTATAGTAAGGGTCTGTTGCTGTCCAAGAAAAGTGGATAGAAGTGTGGTTACTCGAGTACTTGCCAGCTTTTGCATCCAGTGATTCTGTGCTCCTTGTCTATCCCATGCTACTTTGGTGTCTAGCCCTGTGTATGTATGACTTCTCTCCCTCATTTGAATGTGAGCTCACTGAAGGCAAGGATGATATATATGTCTTAATTCTTCTTTGAATCCCTTCCCCCTACGGCCTTATTCGTGCCTAATAAGTGTTGGAATAAGCCAGTTCATAAAGATAGGCGGCATATGTAGAGGTAAAGCTCTCATCCTGGAGTACATGCTTCAGCTCTGTCACATTTCAAGATACAAATAACCAAGTAGGTACCATTTTGGTGGGTTTGAACCTTCTGTGAAGTATGCTGATGAAGTTTGAATTGCTCCTAGAGGGTTTCAGGACTGTGGTGATGTAAACCTAGAATTGTGACCTCACTGCACGCATGAGCAGGACACTGGGACTGGGGAAGAAGTTTCTGGGCCCAGTGGAAAATGTAGGTAGAATTAGGGTTAGGTAGCAGCTCTCGGGAACTTGTCCCTGCCCATAAGATCCTGGAGGGCCCTCCATTTTGACTATCACTGGGACGGTTAGAACCTGTTTCCTCCTCTGTATCAGCCAGCAAGAGGTGCTCTGGGGGCTGTGCCCGGCAGGACCCCACTGCCCAGCAGAACAGTAGGGGAGCCAAGTGGCCTAGATCTACTGCGAACTTCCTGTTTGCCTGCCTGTCTGCCTTCCTCTTCACCTTGTTCTCATCACTGACATCTACCATTGGCTTGGAATCAGAAACCAATATCCATCTAGATGGTAAACCATGACTAAGGAATAAATACTTGTTTATTATTAGTACTTGGAACCTAAAGTTGGTAAAAATCTGAATCTAGGGATAGCCTTGATGGTGAGATGCAATTGGATTGAACAAGCTGTGTCGTTCCACTGAAACTTTTGCTTGCTCTGTGCAGATTGATTTTGATGATGTGGCCGCAATAAACCCAGAACTCCTACAGCTTCTTCCCTTACACCCGAAGGACAACCTGCCCCTGCAGGAGAATGTAACGGTCCAGGTAGGTGCCTGTCATCTGGCTGAGCCAGCGCCCCAGAGGATTCTCTTGGCCTGTTGGCTTTTTGCTGGTTTGTTTTCTGGGACTGCCTGGGACTTGAGCACAGCACATGGGCCCAGGAAGGGCCTTGAAAATTGATAAGAGCCATATATTGTGGTGGTTTGTTTTGTTTTTCAGAAACAAAAACGCAGATCAGTCAACTCCAAAATTCCCGCTCCCAGGGAAGGTAAATGGATTTCTGCTGGCTTATTATCATGGGTTTTGTGTCAGGAATAATGTTTCTAGGACTCAGGAAGCTGTGAAGTAGAGTCATTGCTCTAGTTTAGCAGGTGGCTTCTATGTGGGCTTGAGTCCTGCCCTGTCTTCCAAGCATCTATCTCAGTGAGGAAGAATCCAACCTACAGGGAGGGGGAAACGGGACGTTGGTCAAAGGGTACAAACTTTCGGTTACGCAAGATAAATAAGTTCTGGAGATCTCATGTACAACATAGGGCCTATGATTAACGATACTGTATTGTATACTTAAAAATTTACTGTGAGGGTAGATCTTATGTTAAGTGGTCTTACCACAAAAGGAAAAAAAAAACAAAGGGAGTGGAAGGAAACTTTTGGAGGTGATGGGTAAGTTTATGGCATTGATTGCGATGATGGTTTCATGGGTGTATACTTATCTCCAAACCCATCAAGTTGTACATGTTGCTCTCTACGGCTTTTTGGATGTCAATCATACCTCAATAAAACGGTTTGGGGGAAAAAAAGAATCCAGCCATCCAAGCTACAGCTCTTAGGCCCAGCTCTCAGGAATCTGGTGTATTTGGGGAATTTGCTGACTGGCCCAGAAGTCTTTCCTGTAGAATCCAAAGCAGTAATCAGCCATTGGCAGGCTTGTTTGCTTTCCTCAGGGGAACAGTGTGCCTTGGAGTGAGGTGGTGAGCAGGCTGTGAGAAAAGCTAGGTCTGGGCTCTTTAGAACTATAGTTGGTGGTGCTATGGAGATCTGGGAGTCCGGTAGGATGGGAAGAAATAATAGCATTGCCTCGAAGTCCAGGAGAAGCTTGGGCTTTCTCTGCAGACGTAGTTAGCATGAACCTACTTTGACTCCAGTTGCCTGTGACCAAAGCAGGTAGCTGTAGGCACAAACTGCCCAAGAAACCCAAGCTTATCACTCAGAGCCACCTATGCCTCACAGCCGGCACGGCCTCTCCAGCCCAGGGTCCATCACTGCCCTGACATGATCCGGCTGCCTCAAAGGCCCCGAGACTATTTGGCTGGAGCTTCAGGTTCCTGGGGCCTAGGGTGAAAGGTGGTGCAGTTGTGAGCTTGGACTGGGCATGTAGTGGGGTGTTGCTGGCCCTCGCTGGCTATACTGGAAGGACCTGCAGGAGAGCTGGGGTAGCTGCTGTCTCACTCCACGTGCATGACCCCAAAGGATATTGCCACAGCTCCTTTTAATGGAAAAAAATCTTAGTAAAGGTGCATGCTATTGAACAGTAGAAATGAAACACAAGATTACAAATCTTTTGGGGAAGAAGAAAACTATAATAATTCATGCTCTTTCTGAAAGATGTGGATTATCTAGAGAGCCGTCAGATCAGCCTAAACTTAGGAGCGTCAGAAATTCAGTACGAGCTGATGTTTGCCTATATGATACCATGTATTCTACTTCCAAACTTATGACATTTTATAGATGAATTATTTCTCTCTTATGGAGGGAAACTTTATAAATGGGTAGAAATTGACAAGAATTCAAGTATAACTCAATTCTTTCTCTCAGTTAAGCATTCTTTTAAGATTCCAGAAAAATCAGTGTAGCTGATCCCATGGGTTTCTGATGATGTGGCCCAGGCCTGCTCTGTGAAGCATCCTGGAGCAGTGGGAGAAGCCCGGACTTTGGATGTCCTGGGTCCACATCCTGGCCCTGACACTTAACTAGTTGAATGACTTGGGCAAGTTGCTTAATTTCTCGGAGCCTTAATGTCCCCTTCCATTAGATGGGAATACTGATAGTTACCTTATAATGTTGTTTTGAGGCATGGGAAGATTGTAGAATGGTTTGTGCTGCTGCTAAGAATAATAATGCTTTTTGTTCAGAAATTAAGTCTATCTCTGGAAATGATTTCAGATTGGCTGTAGGTCCCTCCCTTTACTCAAGACATGGCTCTTGTGGGAGTTATCCCTGTCCTCAGGAGCTCTCAGATCTGCAGAATGTGAACAAATTAGTTTTGGGGTCTCTAGTACTTGGCCTTTCTAATTTGCCTTTCCTTGGGTGGAAGGAGTGGGAAGTTGGTGGGCTCCTTTCCTGGTGGTTGGGACCCGTCTCACTGTATATAGAATCTTGGAGGGTTGCCTCCGACCACGCCCCTATTGCCCCCGTCGGCCCTCCTGATCACGCTGCACTGACTGGCTGCTGCCCTGGGTTCTTCAGGTCTCCGAGGCCGCTCCACTCGCATGTCCACCGTCCCAGAGGTTCGCATCACCACTCAGGAGAATGACATGGAGGTGGAGCTGCCTGCGCCTGCAAATTCCCGCAAGCAGTTTTCCATTCCCAGTGAGTAATGATTCTCTTCTCCCTCTTTGAGGCCCTGGAGCAGCTCCTCCTCACACATTGCCCTAAACCTGTTCTGGAATATCCTGGGATTCTTACACAACCCTGGCTTCAGTGCTATTCTGCCCCTGCCCTACTGCTCCCTTATCTGGAAATCATCTCATTTTACTTTTTAAAACTTTATTGAAAAAATATATGTATACAGGAAAGTGAACATATCATTGAGTATATAGTTCACGAACTGAACACACTCAAGTAACTAACACCCAGATCACACAGAGCCATCATTACATCTTATATGTATAGCAAATTCAGCTCCACTAAAAAGAAGGTAAACAAAAGGGTCAGGACCAGGTTTGGGAAGTAATGAGTCGTCGTGGCTTGTACCTTTCTGGATTGAATCAATATGGTTAGTTGTTGCTCAGGTTCCCATTATTCCTGGCTTTTCAGTCTTTGTTCCCATTTACCACCTGGGTTCAAGCTTTGGAGAAGTCAGAAAGGCCTGGCTCTTCTCCCAAATGAGTAGAAAGGCCTGGCCTGGCCACCCACACTTAGGTCAAGCCTAAAGAATTCATGCCTTTAAAGGCTTTTCCCTTCATGGTGAAGCCCATACTGAGCTACTCACACCCCATTTAAGGCTTTTTGATTCCGGGAGCAGTGCTTGCGGAGAGACTGGTCTGGTTCAGGTGTGGGCAGAGGTGAAGGGAGGAGCCCGAGCCCTTGCTGAGCTGGCAGTCAGCAGCCCTCCTCCCACCCCGGACCTGCTAGGGCTCAGATGAGCACAGCTGCCGTATGCCTGCCTGCTTCTCCAGTGACTCTCATTCCCCCACAGCCGGCCCCCCTAGGCCCTCCTGCCCTGCAGTGGCTGAAATACCATTGACGCTGGTCAGCGAGGAGGTGGAAGAGCAAGTCCACTCCATCCGAGGCAGCTCTTCTGCAAACCCTGTGAACTCAGGTAGACGCCCTGAGCTGTCTTGCTGCCCTGCTCCTAGTACAGGACAGGTAGTTACGTTCTGTCCCAGACTTGGCCTGCCTTGGCACCTGAGTTCAAACCATGTCACATGGGGGCACATTTCCCTATGGCCATGGAATCAGTCTTTCACAAGAGGTCACCCCGTCACTGCCAGCAGGACCCCTCTAGGGTAACTGAGGTGTTGTCACAGCTAAAGTCTTGGCCGGCACCTGAAGAACAGCCCAGAATGACCATCAAGACCAAGCAGGGATGGTCTCACAGCTTCTGGTTGTTGAGAAAACGCCACAGAGAGACCTTGGGTTAGACCTGGAGTGCTACCATTAGCAAGTCTTTACTTTGTGGGCTTGGCCATCCCAAGAGACACGCTGTTGCTTCCTCTCCTTGCATATGGTGATTTAAGAGCAAGGGACTAGAGAAGGCCCAGTCCTGGGAACACCCAGGATGCAGTACAGCAGCCAGATAAGAACAGGCCGGCCTAGACAGGTAAAAGAGAGGGCTTCCTTTTTGTTTTTCCCCTTAGTTCGGAGGAAATCATGTATTGTGAAGGAAATGGAAAAAATGAAGAACAAGCGAGAAGAGAAGAGGGCCCAGAACTCTGAAATGAGAATAAAGCGAGCTCAGGTACCTTCCTTGGGGAGCTAGGACGAGGGTCTTCGGACAGGTGTCTTTAACTGCAGCCTTGTCCGCAATAGAGATCTGGCTGGACCCCAGCACTTCTGAGGCTCCAATTCTGATATCCAGGAAGTTTAACTGATTTCTCATCAGGATTTAGAAAGCAAACAATTCAGATACTTTTCTGAAGACCCTCAGATGAGGAATATTTCATGCTAGTGGGGCTGCTGGGCACAGTTGCCTGCTTTCCCCTGACCTCCTAGCTGTGCATATGTAGGGGTGCTGCAATGGAGTTCCAGTGTGGAGCGTTTCCCTTTAGTTGGGCTAATTGCACCAGGGAATCCCAGCCTGCTGGTCTCCTAAGATGGCGACCAGTGGCTCTTGCTCCAGTTCCTAGAGTGGTTTGGTACATGCCTAGGACCCCTGCCAATCTCTGTTCCAGGGCTTTGTTCCTGGGTTCTCAGCCTAGAGCCAGGGTGAGAGGAAGTGAGATTGTGTTGGGGGCTCTGTGAGCTCTGAAGGGCCATGTGCGTATAAAGAGCTGTTGCTGCTGCTTAGCACTGAGGTGTGAGAGCACTTACATCTTAGCAGTCAGCCCTTTGTTGATCTTGTCCCAAACAGGAGTATGACAACAGCTTTCCAAACTGGGAATTTGCCCGGATGATTAAAGAATTTCGGGCTACTTTGGAATGTCATCCACTTACAGTGACTGATCCTGTAAGTAAACCCAAAGGGCTTCTACCTCCTTCCTAAGTAGGTGTACAATTTAGAGACAGGAAACTTCTCTTAAGGGAGTGAGAGCATGCAGGAATCTTCACTCACCCTCGAGGGTTTTGTTAATAACCTTTGGTGGGTTGGAGCTGGTGAGGCCTGGATGGGAGAGTCTGATCTTTATAAACTCCCCTCCATACACACACACCCCCCCCGACAGCCTGCTTCCATAGGTTGGCTATAGTCTTACTAATAATCATGAAATTGTGCTGAAACCTCTTGTAGGCAGCAGCGTGAGAAAACTGGGAAGAAAATTCAGAGCTACTTTCTTGTGTTCTGGAGTAATTATGGGGGAGGTGGGGTCCTAGCATTAGATCTTGGCCCCTGACTGGGCCAGATACGGGATTAGAAGGGGAGAGGTTCTGGACAAGCTTCCTTTCCATATTGCTCTGATCTTGTTGCTGGTTGGTTGTCTTCTCATCCTCTTGAAGATTGAAGAGCACAGGATCTGTGTCTGTGTTAGGAAACGCCCACTGAATAAACAAGGTAAGCCTGTTCATTCAGTCAGAAGGAGGCTTTGGATGGACTGAGGGTTCCCCTGTGTCCAGGGAACATGCCCTGAAATACTGTCCTTCTGCAGAATTGGCCAAGAAAGAAATTGATGTGATTTCCATTCCTAGCAAGTGTCTCCTCTTGGTACACGAGCCCAAGTTAAAAGTGGACTTAACAAAGTATCTGGAGAACCAAGCATTCTGCTTTGACTTTGCCTTTGATGAAACAGCTTCGAATGAAGTTGTCTACAGGTTAGCCCCTTGCCTCTTTTTTTCCCTCCTTCAACCTCACTCTTTCCTCTTTTCACTATGGGACATCGTAGTAACACCACTCACAGGCGTGCTGAACTCTGAAGCCTCCCTGGTGTCCTCTGTTTTCTTTGGATCAGCCATCACATAGAGCTGGCATCTGGCACCAGAACCTCTCTCAAGGTTGACAAACTACAGCCCATGGGCCACGTTTGGCTTGCAATCCCTTTTTACATAGCTCTTAAGAATGGGTTTTATGTTTTTATAGGACTTTAAAATAAAAAGAAAGATATAGGAATGAGAGAGCTATGTGGCCCACAGAGCCTAAAATATTTTAGGCTCCTACTTTAGAGGGTTTCCTTTGATCTTTGTAATGTATCTTATGCTAGAAGTTGCCTGGTAAGCTCAGGCTTTCATCTGTGTCTCCAGGGTCAGAGGAGGGGCTGGTGGCTCAGTTAGCGTGTGGGCCATCACCCTGTTCCTGCCAGGTCAGCCCAGCCCTCCCCAGCTGGCCAGGAGAAGTTCAGACTTTAAGTGGGGTCAGGTGGGACCACTGCATGAGCGGAGTCTGCTGCTTGGAAGGAGGGCCAGGAGTTCTGCGGTGGAAGGGCAGCAGGACCACGTTCCAGGGAGCTCATTTTGGGGAGAGATGCTCACTCTTCCCTATCCTTTCTCTTAGGTTCACAGCAAGGCCACTGGTACAGACAATCTTTGAAGGGGGAAAAGCAACCTGTTTTGCATATGGCCAGACAGGAAGTGGCAAGACACACGTGAGTATTCGGCCTGGCAGGGAGTGAGCCTGCCCATGGTGCGACGCTGGGTCCCTGACAAGGATGACAATGAGTTTCTTGCAGAAAGTCCCCTTAGTGCAGATGCCCCACCACCAGTTACTCCTGCTGTGCCAGGTGCAGCGAGGGGCCTTTGCAGGTCCAGCCTCCTGGCTTTTGTGTGGTCCACCGTGGCAGTGGAGCCAGAGTGCTCTGGCTTAGGCCAAGGGCCCCTTACCACTGTCTTCTGCCCCTTCCCTTTGCAGACTATGGGTGGAGACCTCTCGGGGAAAGCCCAGAATGCATCCAAAGGGATCTACGCAATGGCCTGTAAGTAGTGTGTTCTGCCACAGTGGGGCTGGGCACAGAGAGGCAGGCTGCTTACTTAGCCCAGGCTCTCTCCCACAGCTCGGGATGTCTTCCTCCTGAAGAATCAGCCCCGCTACCGGAACCTGGGCCTGGAAGTCTATGTGACATTCTTCGAGATCTATAATGGGAAGGTAGCTGGCAGGGAGCCCTCTGTTTATGCTCTTGGAGCCCCTGAACTTTCTAAAACCTTGAGGTTGGCTAGAAATTGTAGAAGCCAAACAACCAAAGGCCACTCTGTCCTTTTGGCCACTCTGTCCTGCCATGCATGGGAGGTTTCATCTGACGGTGGGATGGTACCCAAGTTCAACAAGTTTGGCAAGAATACTCCTCAGGGCTCCCTCTCAGATGGGAGGTTTGTCTTGTGCCCTGTCCTTCCTCGACCCACCTCTCATAATTCTTTCTCTCCTTCCCCCGATTGTGCACATTCCTTCTCCTACTCATATTCTCTCTCTATCTATATATCTTGCTACCTCTCTATACTCCATATGCTTTTGCAGAGCTGCCTTCCCTGGAGCAGGATCTAGATGATAATAAAATAGCTAACGTTGCTTATTAATATGTTATCATATGCTAAGCATAATATTCTATTCTAAGCACTTTATTTGTCTCAGCTCTTTCAATCCTCACAGCAGGCCTATGAGGAATTATGTCACTATGGTACAGATGAGAAACAAGGCTAGGTGGTTAAGCACTTGCCCAAGCTGACACAGCTAGTAAAGTAGCAGAGTCACATCAGACTGAGGCAAGTGTACTGTCCTCTGCTAGTCTGATGTCTGCCAAGCTTAGCTTCTCCCTGCCTTTCCTGCTGCCAGCCCTTGTCTTCAGGGCTGGGACAGGCCCTGAAGGAGGGCAGAGTCAGGTGGGGTGCCTGAGGCCTGATGGCCTTAGTCTTGTTCCCCTGCCTGGCACAGCTGTTCGACCTGCTCAACAAGAAGGCCAAGCTGCGTGTGCTGGAGGACGGCAAGCAGCAGGTGCAGGTGGTGGGGCTGCAGGAGCACCTGGTTAACTGTGCCGACGACGTCATCAAGATGATCGACATAGGCGGTGCCTGCAGGTCAGAGTTCTGGCTGCGGGGGAAGGGGCCACCTTTTAATGCCCAGTTCAAGTGACAGACTAGCTCTGAGCCCATTGCCGTTTCCACAGAACCCCGCTTCCGCCAGCACGATGAGGGCTGTGAAGGCCTCTCAGAGGTCTCAATGGGGCGGATGGCCCAGGGCCAGAGGCTCATCAGGAACAAGTCAAAGTGGCCTAAATCTAGCCACAGCAGGCTTCATTCCCAGGCTCCTACCCCAAAGCCATGCCTCCTGACTTCTCTGGGTTTCTCCTTGCTGTTCCCTCCCTCTGTGGTGGGAGACAGGAGCTGTGGGTCTGTTCTAGGCTGGAAGTGATGGGGCTCTAGCTCCCGTGGAGAGGTAGGGAAGCCCTCTTCCACCAGGGCCCTAAGTGTGGTACAGTGGGTGCTGGGCACCTTGTGGAGGCCCAGGGAGGGGGCTGCCCTCTGCAGGGCCCTCAAGTTTTGTCAAGTAGATCATGACTGCCCCTCCTTCCCTGTGTGCCCTGCAGCAGAAGCAACTCATCCGTCCCCACGTCCTTATGGCACCCCAGGTCTGGCCAAGGCCCTAGCACAGAATCCAGTCCTTTCACTGCCAGGAAAACCTACTAGGTCCAGAGCTAGAGGAAGAGCTGCTGCCCAGGGTGGGCAGAGCGGAAGTCTGGGACAAGAAGACACGATACTTCTTAGAGTCCTGACCTGTGGCCCTCTCTTACCAGAAAGCTCACTGGTGTGGACTGAGGTGGCTTGGACTTAGGTGCCATGGTGGCTGGTGACCCCAAAAGCTCATAGCATTTCTTTGCCCTCCTTTGCCACAGGACCTCTGGGCAGACATTTGCCAACTCCAACTCTTCCCGCTCCCACGCCTGCTTCCAGATTCTTCTTCGAGCCAAAGGGAGAATGCATGGCAAGTTCTCTTTGGTGGATCTGGCAGGGAACGAGCGAGGCGCAGACACTTCCAGTGCTGACCGGCAGACCCGCATGGAGGGGGCAGAAATCAACAAGAGTCTCTTGGCTCTGAAGGTAGCAGGGGCTAGCTTGAGGTGGTTGGCCTGGGGAGCTGCTGGTGGAGGGAGAGAGGGGCCTCAGCTCTGCCTGCTGCCCCACAGGAGTGCATCAGGGCCTTGGGACAGAACAAGGCTCACACCCCGTTCCGCGAGAGCAAGCTGACACAGGTTCTGAGGGACTCTTTTATCGGGGAGAACTCAAGGACCTGCATGGTGAGTAGGGTCGCTTTGGAGGTGGTCCAGGAGGACATTTAGTCCCGTCCCTGGGCAGCAGGCCCGGTGCCCTTGGCTGTCTGGGTTTCTGGGCTCTAACTTGACTGGGCTTCAGCCCTGCCTGCAGCACCAGGCTCCTCTTTGCCTACCCAAGAGAGGAGGAAAGGATCTCCCTTTACTGTATGTCTGGGCAGCTCGTGGTTTGGGGGAGGTCATTCCTGCCTTATCAGGTCGAAAGGGGGCTCCAGAATTCAGAAGGAGGACCTTTAGGGAAGCTGGAGGGGAGTCTTCGCCTCTTCTGTGGCTTCCCTCAGGTTCACAGGCCCCAAGCCTAGGAAATAGGCTAGAGCACTGCTATGGCCTTGAAGGCTTTTTGCCTCCTTCCTTATTTTATCCACAAGCTCTTCTAGCTAGGGTCTGCCCTCCCCTCCAGGGAACATCCTCTCCCCTGTCTGCTGGGGAAGGTGAGGATTCCCGACTAAGCTCTAGAGCCTTCTCTCTGAGACATTATCCCTGAGCCTAGGTGAACTGAAGTTTCCAGCAAGAGCCACAGAGCCTTGAGATGTGACCTTAGTAAGAGGAATGGGTCAGTAAAGAGATACAGAGGCAGGAGGTAATCATGTGCCTTTAAAGGCAGGGAACCAACTTTTAAGGTGCCTTAATTTTTAGTGGCTGTGGGACAAGTTGCCTGGCACAGAGCGGGTGCTTAAGGAGCTCTCCCCTCAGATAGCATGTGGGTATCAGCGGCTTGAAAACACTCTTCCTGGCAGCCCGTCCAGAAGCAGTTTGTCTAGCACCCTGCCCCCATGATCCTCAACCTTTGACTGCCCTTTTGCAGATTGCCATGATCTCACCGGGCATAAGCTCCTGTGAATACACTTTAAACACACTAAGATATGCAGACAGGTACTAGTACCTACGGCCAGGTGGGATGGGGAGAGGGGTGGGGGGGGGAAGGAATGGCAGTGATGAGGGGGGAGGCTCTGGGACCTCAGTGCCTACTGCGCACTCTTCTGTGACTCGGTGAATCTGAGGCTTGGGAGTTTAGTCATGATGCTAGAAGGTCTGTCCCAATCCCCAGTGGGATCTGAGATCTTGTTTCCTCAGGGTCAAGGAGCTGAGTCCCCACAGTGGGCCCAGTGGGGAGCAGCCAACTCAAATGGAAACAGAAGAGATGGAAGCCAGCTCCAACGGGGCCCTGATCACAGGCAATGTAAGGGACAAGGTGGGGTCAGGCAAGACAGAAGTATGGTTGCTGAGATGGCAAGTGGTCCATACTGCTATGTGTCTCCTTTTGGCCCCCTTAGTTCTCCAAGGAAGAGGAGGAACTGTCTTCCCAGATGTCCAGCTTTAATGAAGCCATGACTCAGATCAGGGAGCTGGAGGAGAGGGCCGTGGAAGAGCTTAAGGAGATTATACAGGTGGGAAGCTGGCCCTGGCCAGGGAGGGACTGGATATCCCCCATAGCACAGGCCCTCAGCACCACTCCTTGAACGGAACTTGGGCTTTGCTCCCACGGGTCTTCAGGTTGGGAGGGCGAGAGGCAGCCCTCTACACTAGCACTTCTTAATTCTCTACCTGTTCATCCAGTGTTCTTCCGGGGCAGCTAATTACCACACTGCCTTCTCCAGCCGGGCCCACACTAGCTTTGCTCCATCCTCCTAGCCACAGGGAGTCTCTCTCCTCCATGCTCCTGATTGATTTATGTGCAGGGACCTCGTCTTGTTTATTCAGTGAATGCTCGGCGAGTACTTTTCTATAAGGCAGCTCCTGTGCTGAGACCAAGGACCAAAAACAAGAAGTATGGATAGTAGGCCCTCAAGTAAGATTTGACTACTCCTGATACTTCTATTTACAAGCCAGTTTCCTTGCGAAAGTCATTTGGCCTCACTGGGCCTCTGTTTCTTCATCCCGAAAATGGGTAAGACAGGATGTCTTCTCTGAGGATTAAGTGATACGCTTTTATAGCACTCAGCAGTGCCCAGCATGTGCTCGGTGTTTGGTAAGTGGTAGATGCTAGGGCTGCTCTGATGCCCACTATGGGCAAGCAGGTACAGGGAGAGGCCCCAAAGTGCATCCCAGTGTCGGGGGTGTTCTGTGCAGAGCAGAAAGGAAGAGCTCAGGCACTTAGAACTGAGGTGGGAACGTGAAGGATAAATGTTTGGGCGTGTCCTCCCTCTCTGGAGAGCTCAAGGGTACAAATCTTTGAAAGGACTTGAGCTGATGATAAAGGGAGATTAAGGCTGTGGACGACAGATCAGCAAGGACCTGATACTAAAGGGCCTTATGGTTCATTACCAAAGGCCTGGACTTTGTTGAGGGCAGTGGATGCCTTTGAAGGGAGGTAAGCAGAGTGGTGCCATGGTCATACCAGAGCTTTAGGTACATCACTGTGGCCACAGTGCAGAGCCTGGTTGAGGACATGGGAAGAGCATGAATAGAGGCAGTTATGAGTTAAGAGCCCTTAGGAGATTGCTGGAAGGAGTCTGAGAGAGATGTTGGTGCCTAGACTGAGTGTGGTCATGGCCATGGGATTGGAGTGAGGACGTGAGATTCAAGAACCATTTAAGGGGTGGAATTGGTAGGATTTAGGGGCAAGGAGGGTGAAAGAATAAAGTTACTGCTCATAAAAAAAAAGTTGCTCAGATTTGTGGCTTGGGCATCAAAACAGATGATGGCATTATTTGACATAAGGAACAGGGACAAGTTAGGGTAAGGAAGAAGATGAATTCAAGCCGAGGATTTCTGCAGGGGAGGGTCAGGAGGCAGGGTTTGGGCCAGGCTTGGAGGAATGGGTGTCGTGCACAGGTATCTGCATTGCAGGTGATAGGACCCCAGGAAAAATTTGCTACATTGGTTTGGTGATTATTGAACTGACAGGGTCCTCCCTGTGTCGTTGCAGCAAGGGCCAGGCTGGCTTGAGCTCTCCGAGATGACCGAGCAGCCGGACTATGACCTGGAGACCTTTGTGAACAAGGCAGAGTCTGCCCTGGCCCAGCAAGCCAAGCACTTCTCAGCCCTGCAAGGTGGGTGCAGCTGGAGGATGGGGCCTGTGCAGGTGATGGCAGCTCTGCCCTGAGGGAATGGGGCTCTGCGATGCCCACTAACCCTAAGTGCACCCCCCCTTCCAGATGTCGTCAAGGCCTTGCGCCTGGCCATGCAGCTGGAAGAGCAGGCCAGCAAACAAATAAGCAGCAAGAAACGGCCCCAGTGACGACTGCAAATAAAGATGTTTGTTCTCACACCCAGCCTTTCCCCATCCCCTTCCCTCCCCAACGAACTTTGGGCACCTGGTGGGTGTAGTCAGGGTCTGAGCTGGGACAGACTTTGGCAAATGCCAAGTATGAGGGCATCTGGGCCCAGGGGAGGGGTCAGAATGACATGGGACACTACTTCCTCTTCCTCAGTTATAGCCCTGAAGGGAGCAAGGAGAGGAGGGGGGAGCTTAACTCCTGTGTGTCACCCTTCTTTCCAAGAGGGGAAGGCCCTCTGGTGTAGAGTTTCCCCTGGGCGGCGTTTGCCCGTGTGGACTGGCTGCTGGCACAGGGCTCCCTGGGGCTGTCCTGGCTCTGGGCAGAGAGAGGGCGCCTTTAGTCCAGCTCTCAGCTGGCTCTGGCCTGCCTTTCACTCCCTTGGTCTGGGCGCTAATGTGTCTTGTACTTTAAAAAAAGTTTTTGGCACCTCTTCTTCCTTGCTATTTTTTGAGGCCCAAGAGGAGCCCTGCTGTTTTCTGTTTTATGTGTTTATATATTGTCTCACAATAAAGAAAGAGGAAAAAAAACTAGCCTGTTGAGTGGTGTGTGGGAAGGGGCCTGAGACATGTCTGAGCCTTCTGGCCTAAGGCCACTACTGGGTAGTGTTAACTGCTCTGCCCAGGAGGCCAGATCCGTGCCTGCAGTTTCAGTGCCGTGCTGAGGGCTCCCACCCCTGCCTTGTTCAGTGCTCACTAGGTCCCGGGCCCTCTCCTGGGGACAGGGGCTATGAGCAGAAAACAGATGGCGCCCTGTCAATTACAGTCTGCTCAAGGCATGTTACAAGATTCCGCGGAACACTGACAGGAAAGAAAGCACGCGGCTGGCTGGACAGGGGAGGATCTGATGGGCAACACCAGTTTGGTCTTGAAAAATGAGTAGCAGTTTGCCAGGTGGACTGAGGACCCAAGCACAGAGCCTGGGCACTTTGGGAACTGGAGGATTCCAGATTCCTTGTCGTGGAGCATGAATTATCTGAAGGGTAATGTGCCACTAAGAGGATTTTAGCCTAGGAGGCACACAGTCAAGTGTGTGTGATAGAAAGGCCGCAGTTAGGGAGGCGAGTGGGCAGCATGGGGCATGTGGGCAACTGCAGAAACTCCAGAGAAGCTTGGGGTCGGGCAGATCAGATTCCAGACCAGGTTCTGGCCCCTCAGCCTCGGTTACTTCATTGGTAAAATGGGGGCATTCTCTACCTCAGGGTGAGACAATTATGTGTTTGAGGCATCATTAAATAACCAAATACAGGACTTGGATTCAGAAATTTGGCTAAGTCAGAAGTTCGACAGAAATGGCACTAGCTCTGAGGCCTTAAAAGTTTCCAGACACCTAACTTTTCCCCTCATCTGTAAAATGAGGCCACCGATACTCACCTCACAGAATTGGAAAGATTAAATGAAAGAATGCCACTAGACCAGACTACCTTCTCACCTGGAATATCATATGAGTCCCTAACTGGTCCCCTGCTTGAATCCTTGATGCCAGTGATCCATTCTCCCCAAGCAGCCAGAGGAATCCTCATAAATTATCCCCAGCTTGGAACCCTTTAATAATGTCCTTTTGCACAAGGGATAAATTCTTTTTCTTCCCACCCCACCGTGACCCCCCGTGTGGAAGATTGGCCCTGAGCTAACATCTGTTGCCAATCCTGGTTTTTTTTTTGCTTGAGGAGGATTGGCCCTGAGCTAACATTTGTGCCCATCTTCTACTTTGTTTGTGGGATACCTGCCACACCATGGTTTGATGAGTGGTGTAGGTCCGTGCCCAGGATCTGAACCTAAACCCCGGGCTGACAAAGCGGACTGCGCTGAACTTAAGCACTATGCCACCAGGCTGGTCCCAGGGATAAATTCTGAATGTCCTATTGTGGCCTATGGCCCTGCCTAGTCAGCTCCTCAGCTTTTGGTTCAGTTGGAATGTAATTTGGGCAGAACAGTTTGGAGGCTAACAGCCCAGCTTCTGAAGCCACACTGAAGAGTGGGATCCTAGCTCTGTGACTGCAGAACATCAAGTGGGTTGTTTAAGCTCTTTGTGCTATCTGTGAAATGGGGATAATACTGGTAGAGAGTTGTTATGGAAATTGTTACTATACACACAGCAGTAAGTAAAATGTCTCACACTTAATAAGTGCTATATAAGTGCTAGCTATTTAAGCACATAAGAACAAATATTTTTGTTTTATTTAATACTGTAGCCACATATCCACAATGTCTAGAACATATGGTAAGCACACAATGTCTATTTTTGAATGAATGAATAAATGCATTCTACCACTCACTGTTCTCCAACTGCACTGGTTTATATGCCAGGGCTTTTTTTAAAATAACAGCTTTATTGAGATATAATTCACATACTACAAAATTCACCCTTTTAAAGCGTACAACTCAGTGACTTAGTATACTCATTGAATTGGGCAATCATCATTACTACTCTCCGAACATTTTCATTACCCAAAAAGAAACCCCATACCCGTTAGCAGTCACCCCCCCACCCTCGCCAAGTCCTCTCTCCCCCAGCCGTAGGCAGCCACTAATCTACTTTTCTTTATGGATTGGCCTATTCTGTCTATTTAGTATAAATGGAATCATACAATATGTGGTCTTCCGTGTCTGGCTTCTTTCACTTAGCATGTTTTAAAGGATCATGTTATAGCCTGTATCAGTATTTCACTCCTTTTTATGGCCAAATAACATCCCCTTGTAGGGCTATACAGTAGTCCCCCATCCACGGGGATTATGTCCCAAGACCCCAATGGATGCCTGAAACCACGGACAGTACTGAACCCCATATATACTACGTTTTTTCCTATACATACATACCTATGATAAAGTTTCATTTATAAATTAGACACCATAAGAGATTAACAACTAATAATAAAATAGAATAATTATAACAATATACTCTAATAAAAGCGTAGATCTTAGCAACCTCAGCATACATTTTTTTTCTTACTAAGTCAAGAACTTTTACCTTTTCACTTAAAAGAAGAAGCACAATTTCTCTGGCATATCCAAATTGCCAGCATCACTGCTCTTGCACTTTGGGGCCATTATTAAGTAAAGTGAGGGTGACTTGAAGACAACCACTGTGATACCATGACAGTTGGTCTGATAACCTAGCCGGCTACTGACTACCGTGCGGATAGCGTATACAGCGTGGATGCACTGGACAAAGGGATGATTCACAACCCCGAGCGGGATGGTGTGAGATTTCATTATGCTACTCAGAATGGCATACAATTTAAAACATGAATTGTTTATTTCTGGAATTTTCCATTGAATATTTTTGGACTGTGGTTGACCGTGAGTAACTGAAACCACAGAAAGTGGAACCATGGATAAGGAAGGAGGGACTGCTATACCACCTTTTGTTTATCCATCAGTTGATGAACATTTGAGTTGTTTCCACTTTTTGGCACTATGAATAAACTATTCGTGCTATGAACATTCGTGTACAAGTTTTTGTCTGAGCATAGGTTTTCAATTCTCTTGGGTATATGCAAGTTCTTTGCCCATTTTTAATTTGGATTGTCTTTATTGTTGACTTGTAAGAGCTCTTTATATATTTTGGATACTGGATTATCAAATATAGGTTGTGCAAATATTTTCCCTCATTCTGTGGGTTGTCTTTTCACTTTTTTGATGGTGTCCTTTGAAATACAAAAGTTTTTAATTAAAAAAATTTTTTTTGAGGAAGATTAGCTCTGAGCTAACATCTACTGCCAATCCTCCTCTTTGCTGAGGAAGACTGGCCCTGAGCTAATATCTGTGCCCATCTTCCTTTTTTCTTTTCTTTATTTTTTTTTTGAGGAAGATTAGCCCTGAGTTAACATCTACTGCCAATCCTCCTCTTTGCTGAGGAAGATTGGCCCTGAGCTAACATCCGTGCCCATCTTCCTCTACTTTATATGTGGGACGCCTGCCACATCATGGCTTGCCAAGGGGTGCCATGCCTGCACCTGGGATCCGAACTGGCGAACCCTGGGCCGCCGAAGAAGAACATGCAAACTTAACTACTGTGCCACCTGGCCAGCTCCAAAAGTTTTTAATTTTGATGAAGTCCAACTTATCTCTTTTCTTTCATTGCTTGTGCTTTTGGTGTCATCTAAGAATCCATTGCCAAATCCAAGGCCGTGAATATTTATGTTTTCTTCTAAGAGTTTTATGGTTGTATATTTAGGTCATTGATCCATTTTAATTTTTGTAGATGATGTGAGGCAGAATTTATTCTTTTGCATGTGAGTATCCAGTTTTTCCAGCAGCATTTATTGAAAAGACTATTCTTTCCCCATTGAATTGTATTGGCAACCCTGTTGAACTCAGTTGCCTACAGATATATGGGCTAATTTCTGGACTTTAAATGCTATTCCAGGGGCCGGCCCTGTGGCACAGTGGTTAAGTGTGCCACATATAAGTCCCACATATAAAGTGGAGGAAGATGGGCTTGGATGTTAGCTGAGGGCCAGTCTTCCTCAGCAAAAACAGGAGGATTGGCAGCAGATGTTGGATCAGGGCTGATCTTCCTCAAAAAAATTTTTTTAAAAAATGCTATTCCACTGGTCTACGTGTCTATCCTTACGGCAATACTGCACTGTTTGGTTACTGTAGTTTGTAATAAGTTTTGAAATGAGGAAATGTGACTCCTCCAACTTTGTTCTTTTTCAATATTGTTTTGGCTATTCGGGGCCGCTTGCAGTTCCACATGAATTTGAGGATCAGCTTTCCATGTCTGCAAACAGGCTGACGGGCTTTTGCTTGGGACTGCACTGAATCTGTAGATTGCTTTGGGCAGTGCTGCCATCAACATAAAGTCTTCCAACTATGAACACAAGATGTCCTTCCATTTATTTAGGTCTTTAATAGCTTTTCTTTTTTTTCAATTTTTTTCTTTTAATTTCTTTGAACAATGTTTTATAGTTTTCAGTGTACAAACCTTTCCCCGTCTTGGTTAAATTTATTTCCTTGGTATTTTATTCTTTTGGATGCTACTGCAAAAGGAATTACTTTTCTTTTCTTTTTTAAGATTTTACTTTTCCTTTTTCTCCCCAAAGCCCCCCGGTACATAGTTGTGTATTTTTGTTTTAGTTGTGGGTCCTTCTAGCTGTGACGTGTGGAACACTACCTCAGCATGGCCTGATGAGCAGTGCCATATCCACACCCAGGATTCGAACCGGCAAAACCCTGGGCCACCAAAGTGGAGGGCAGAAACTTAACCACTGGGCCATGGAGCCAGCCCCAGGAATTACTTTTCTTACCTTCCTTTTCAGATTGTTTATTGCTGGTGCTTAGAAACACAATTGATTTTTTTTTTTTTTGAGGAAGATTAGCGCTGAGCTAACTACTGCCAATCCTCCTCTTTTTGCTGAGGAAGACTGGCCCTGAGCCAACATCTGTGCCCATCTTCCTCTACTTTATACGTGGGACGCCTGCCACAGCATGGCGTGCCAAGCAGCGCCATGTGTGCACCTGGGATCCGAAGTGGCAAACCCCGGGGCCACCAAAGCAGAACGTGCGCACTTAACTGCTGCACC